AATGAATCTGGAGAAGATTAAAGCTGTTTTGAAATGAATAACACCTACTACTTTTAAAGGTGTATGAGAATTTTTAGGCTTTGTCAATTTCTATAGACAATTTATCAGGGATTTCTCAAAGATCATGATCTCACTGATGATTCTTACACACAAGAATATTTCTTTTTTGTAGACAAGTAAGGCTAAGAAAGCTTTTAAGCATCTAAAATCAATGTTTATCTCTGCTCTAATCCTGCTTCAATTTAATTCTGACTATGAGACTATATTGAAAATGAACTTCTCAGATTATATTTCAGAAGAAGTACTGCTACAATATGACAAGCAAAGCATTCTACACTCATGTGCCTTCTTCTTTCACAAGCATTCACTTGTGGAATGCAACTATGAGATTCATGATAAGGAGTTATTAGCAATAATTAAGTGTTTAAAGAAATGAAATGCTGAGCTACAAAGTGTAAAGAAATTCAAGATCCTTACAGATCATAAGAATCTAGAATACTTCATGACTACACATAGACTAAATGAAAGACAGCTATGTTGGATGAATATTCTCTATCAATTCAACTTCAGAATTGATTATCAGTTAGAAAAGTTGAATGCTGGACTAGACACTCTATTATGAAGAGAGTAGAACATGTCACAGAGTGCTAATAATAAGAGAATCAAGCAGAGGCAAGCTCAACTACTTAAGTTTAATGTACTGACACTTGAAATGAAATCAAGAGTAACTGCTGTCAGTGTGAAACCTGAAATGTCTCTTCAAGCTCAGTGAAATAAGACTCACAAAAATGATAAGATTCTGCAGCATCTGAAGCAGACTCTTCATGAGAAAAGATTCAGATTTTCTTCTGAACTTAGCATTAAGACCTCTGTCTCTGAGTGCTCTTTAAATGAGAATACAGAGCTTCTCTTTCAAGATTGTAAGTGAGTGCCAGACTTCAAACCTCTTTGAATCAGATTAGTGCATGAGGCTCATGACTCACCTCTTACTGACCATTCTGAGTGAGAGCAAATGGCAGAAGTTCTAAGATGTGAGTTCTACTGATCAGGCTATGCTACTGATGTGAGAAGAATGATCAGAAACTGTCATCTTTGCAGATCAAACATCACATGAAGAGATCAATGTCAGGAACTATTTAAGCCTCTCCTCATTTCTAAATACATATGACAGAAGCTTTCTATGAACTTTATTGTGAACTTATCAAGTTCTAAAAAATATACAAACATCATAGTTATAACAGACAGACTGATCAAGGAAGTTATATTAAAAGCAGTTAAGAAAACTGATGTGGAGACAGTGACTAGAGTGTTTCTTCATGACATCATCTTTCAACATGGCATCTCTAAGGCAGTAGTGTCAGATTAAGGATCAGCTTTCACAAGCATGTTTTGAACTCAGATGTATGAGAAATTAGACATTAAAAGATGACTCTTCACAGTCTATTACTCAAAGACTGACAGAGCTACATAGTGAATGAATCAGACTTTGAAAATCTATCTACATAAATATGTTAGCTTTCAACAAGATGACTAGTGTGAATGACTCTCTCTGATAGAGCTGATCATCAATAATAGAGATGCTGTCTCAATAGATGTGAGCTCATTCTTTTTAACACATCTTTTTCACATCTTCTTCATTGATATAGCTGATGCACTCTCTGTTGAAATATCATATAATCTCATTAAGTTTGCAGATGATTATATGAGAAAGGTCTGTGAAGTGTTGAAGTGAGCTCAAGTAAAAATGACAGATGCTCAGCAATCTCAAAAGAACTACATGAATAAATGAAGAGACTCAGCTTCAAGCTTTCAATCTGAAGATAAGATCTGATTGAACTTAGAGAACATGAGAACTAATCACCTGTGCAAGAAGCTGAATATGAAATACAATTAATATACTGTGCTAGAAAAGATAGAATTTCATACTTACTAACTGAATGTCTCATCTGACATTCACAATATCTTTAATGTAAAGCTTCTACATGCAACAGCAATAGATTTCTTGCCTAGTCAGAGGCAAACTGACTGGCAACCACCTGTTATAGAGATCTTGAAAGGACCTGAGTTTGAAATTGAGGAAATTTGAGATGAATGAACTTATCAGAGAAAAAAGCAATATCTTGTTAAATGAGTAGATTGGGCTGAGTCTACATAGAATGATGTGAGTCTTCTACAAGAAGTGAAGACTTTGAACACTTGGGAGACCCCTTAGCAAGCAAAATTAAATGTAAAGAGAACTTTAAATAGTCATAAAGGCCTGCAACAAAGAGGGAGAAGAGGGGTATTATAAGAGGCTGAACCCCAAGATTTGCTCTGACTGGCTGACTCAGCCTAGTCATTGTTTGCATGTGTGCATGTGATCATGCTGCATGTGCACACATGATCATACTATGTAAGCTTGCTTAAGCTTGTGTTCTCATCTTATTCTTTTCTTCCCTTTCCCAAGCAATTTGTCCTTGTTATATAGAAGGACTAGCCTCTAGTTTTTAGAGCTTAACTCTCTACAGTTAGGCTGAGTCTACATGAAATGATGTGAGTTTTCTACAAAAAGTGAAGGTTTTGAACACTTGGGAGGCCTTTCAGCAGGTAAAATTAGATGTAAAGAGGGCTTTAAATAGTCATAAAAGCCTGCAACAAAGAGGGAGAAGAGAGGTATTATAAGAGGCTGAACCCATAGATTCACTCTGGCTGGCTGACTCAGCCTAGTCATTGTTTGCATGTGTACACATGATCATGCTATGTGAGCTCACTTAAGCTTGTGTTCTCATCTCATTCTTTTCTTCTCTTTCTCAAGCAATTCATCCTTGTTATATAAAAGGACTAGTCTATAGTTCTTAAAGTTTAATCCTCTACACTTATTAATATTTTGATATATTTATTGTAGATACTTGAACATTTTCTCAGTTATTTCAAACTTCTCAGAATGGTTTTTCTTCATTCTTAAGACTAAGTGTCTGGTAGCTTTATCATCAATTCAGTTTTCAATATAGATAATATAGCTTTCTTCAGTTGAAAAGTGGTCAATGTTAACAGCTAGCTTGTATTTCATTCAAAAGAGTTAGTTTTCAAATATCAGTTCTTTTTTATTGATGAGATGCTTAGAATCATCAAGTTTGACTGATTATTGTGTCTGTTGATTGTTCATCAGTCTGACTTAAGAGGCTAAAAAGTATATCATCTGCTATAAAATATTTCATTTCTCTATTAAACTGTTTACTTGCTGGTCAATGTGATGATGTAGAACAGACTTACATCCAACCTTTTCAACAGCATAATTACCACAGACTGAGGCAATTAGTCATTATACAGGTCAAGATGATTAGTAAACAATAATTACCTAGGTAATGATAAACAACCCTACAATTACCCTGTATATGAATAACATAAATATGGCAATCATATAGCAATAGTGCTAGAGAAAAAGAGCTATATAAACAGAGCCTTTTCTGAACTCATTTTTTAAAAATCATCTTAGTATTCACTCAAATAGCTTATTTAGTTGACAATCAAATATCAATTCATCTATGTCTAGTTGAAGCTGTGATATAATACTAAGATTATCTACTTTTATTATTTTTTTTAAAGCAGGTTTTTAGGTGAAAAATCTTTAAGAATTCTTATCTGCTTTTGTTATGAAACCTCTGAGAAAACTGCTAAAATATCAGAAGCAGTTAGAGAATCTGACAGTTTATAAAGATGAGACTGGAATATGATGACCCTAACTGAGAAGAACATGAGGTTAAGAAATTTTATATTTAAGAAATAATTTCTTGAAGTAATTGAAGAAGACTCAAAGTGAGTATATCAAGCAATTACTGTTTTTATGAATGAGGTAAGAAGTACTTTAGAAAGAGTTAGAGCAGAATAAGATAAGCAGAGAAAGCAAATGAGTGAACTTGATCAGCAAGTGAGCAGTCTGATAGAGAAATGAAATGCTTTACAGCAGATAATGAACTCTTTAGCCTCTCAAATCAGACTAATGAATAATCAACAGATATGATGATCAGTCAAACTTGATGACTTTAAGCACCTCATCAATGAAAAAGAACTAATATTTGAAAACTGACTCTTCTGAATGAAACACAAGCTAGTTGTCAACACTGACCACTTTTCAACTGAAGAAAGTCATATTGCCTATATTGAAAACTGAACTAATGATGAAGTTGCCAGACACTTAGCTTCAAAAATAAAAAAAAGATCATTCTGAGAAGTTTGAAACAGCTGAAAAAGTGTTCAAGTATTTATAAAAAATATATGAGAATGTTAATAAGCTTAAGAATGCAAAAACAGAATATTAACATCTAATAATGAGAAATGAAGATGACTATCATGCATTTGTGATCAAATTTTTGCATTTGACTAGTGAAGCTTAGATTTATAAAAAAGATTATAAAGCAGACTTTCTTCATAAAATTTTCTTTAATCTTCAACTTATGATTGCAGCAGCCTGCATCAATTGTAGCATCTTTTAAGAAATTTAAGATATCTGCATCTGGGCTGCTCAGTATATTAAGGGTATGCCAGGTTATCACAATCAAAGACTGCTTAGTCATAAAGAAACTTCAATGATCTGAAACAGCTATAAGAGAACTCTAATATCTCAGAACTGTGAATCAACTCTAATCATACTAGCACATACAACTGAAAATAGGATGAAGAATGAAAATTAAAAGAAGAATATGAAATACTTCAATTGCTGAAGCAAAAATTATATAGCTCAAAATTACTCATATAAGCAAGAGACAGAACTGAAGAAAGTGAATACTGAGACTGCTGTCATCAAGTCAGAAAAAGAGTAAATCTGAAAAAAACCTTCTTCTCAGATAAGATAGTTGCACTAGAAACTTTGAATGTGAATCAGTAAAAGAGTGTATTGTACTGAGCTACATGAGACTAAAAACTGCAGGCAGAAGGGCGTGGAAGGTTTCACCCCCAGATGCACAGTCTGCAAAGGCGCCTATACAGCGTGGAGCAACGCCTGCCCAGCAAGAAAGAAAGAGATGGGTAGGGTCGAGCGGGCTAAGCAAGTCTGCAACATTTACTGGCACGTTGTTTCCAAGGAGGAACACCCCAAGGATAAGAGTTCGCGAACAACGCATCGCCCCACATACGACCCTCCCTGCAACCCAACCATAACGATATCGAATACCTTAAACGCAGAACCCCTGGATCAAATAACCTCCCTCCCAGAGTCCGTGACTGCACAAGCAGGGAATTCTTCCCAGGAATCGCAGATACCCATGGAGATTGAGGCGGTGTAAACACTGACCGACTCGCCAATCGCAGAAGACTGGGCGACACCAGCGTCACAGCAGCGGCCCATGTCACAGCAGCTGATGATCGACCCACAGCTACTGGCAACGGAACAATTCCGGGGAGCTGATCCACATAACCGTTGTCCTTTGCCATCCACTGAAGGCGTACGGCCATTCTGCGTTCCGCGTCATCAAACTCTGGGACCTTGGGAACTGGGAGAATGGTGACCTACCAGCCATGCAATCACTAGAAAAACTTCAGCTCTGTGGGGGAGAAGACGATGATGCGACGGTAGACGGCTTCAGTATAACCATGGCCAAGTTCCCGCGCCTGCGGTCCCTCAAACTATGGAATTTGGTAGTTGGAAATGCTGAAAAGTTTTTCCCTGGGCCAATACAGAGCTTGTGCAAGGTGAAGGTTGACTTTTGTTTTATTTCCACGGACAGATTTCTTAACCTGTCAGCCGCTGCGGCCAAAAGTCTATACATCTGCATTCGACAATCAGACGGCACCACAGGACCGTATGAAATTAGCACACCGAAGTTAATGGACCTGACCGTAGACGGACGCTTACCACCAGGTTTCCGGTTGAAAGGTTTGCCACAGGACTGCACACTCTGTGCAGATACCTTCCTGCTCCAAGGTGCAAATATTGACCATACGATTAACGTGGCTGGGGTTCGCATTTTGTGGTATGAAGGGCGTCTGTGGATTCCAGCGTGGACCAACCAGATCGGCAGAGGCCGTATAACGTCCTTTAAGTGCCAGAACATGATGTTGACGCGCTCCCTGTGGAATGCCCTCCGCTCCTGCACCTCTCTCCGGGTAGTTCATATTTATGTCGCTCGTCACAATCCCGATCCACCCCCTCTTGATCCTTTGGTGGAGGTGAGTAATCTCTGTTATACAAATGAGAACGAAGTTAACATAACTGCAGCCTGCAGAACTCTTTCAGGAGGTGCCCCACTGGATCAATGATCTCACTATCCACGAAGAACAGATCCTCAAGCACGTGTGGGATAAAGGAATTCGCGTAATGAACGGACGTTTCCAAGCGCTTTTTGGTGTAAATTTTTCCATGAACTGGAGCCGAAATCGAACAATCCGAATTGTGACATAGCCACGATGGTGGTCTGGCTGTGCAGATAGCCTTGCCGTCTTTGTTATGGTACATAGTCATCACAGTTCTGAAGTCGTGGAGAAATATCCCAAATATGGCTCACTGCACTAGTGTCGATTCGCTGTGCCTACTTCGAAAAATTTGTCCTAGACGCACAGCGAAAGTTGTTGCAGCAGTTCCTTTATAACTGGCTGCTGAGGGCTTTCATGTTTAGGCTATGTAGTGGCCACCCTGTTCATGAAAGACGGACTAGTTCAAGATTTTTGCCGAGGACGTATGGAGCCAGCTCGGAGAAGTAGAACGGTGTCGACCACGATAGGGGAAGCCCTGTGATATCTTCAGAACACCCTCTGCGCTTCCTGTTGATGTATGGATGGAGAAAATCTACGGTACGCCCTCCACGCCTCCTGTTGATGTAAAGATATTTGCAAAATTTAACTAACTTCCATAGATTATTAAACTTTTCAGGTGGGAAAAATGACGCATGTATGACAGAAGATCAAATAAGGCATGCCATCTTCAGACACAATTACCACGGACATGGAAGCCGATCCGTAGAAACAGGCCTCCAACGGTGGGACCAAAGAATAAATACAGGCCATCAACATATCCCGGAACCATAACCATCGTCCGATTAGTCTTGAGCATCTGACCCGGGACATACATTGAACGCTGCGGTGTCGAACCTCCAGTTGTACGGTTACGGGTATTCGGCCGCTGCGGTGATGATCACGCTATTCATGCCCAACTCTCCACAGAAGGACCCGTCGCTGGGGGGCTATTCTTGTGCCTGCGGTTCAATTCTGCGGAATCTGGTGGCTGACTTGTATTTGCTGGAACTCCGGCTTCGAGCTCTGCAATGGAAGGGAGGCGAACGGTAAGTGAGCGCGACGCTTGGGGAGGTTCCGATGCAAGCTGCGAGAGTGAGAACGGAACTGTTCCAGTTCGTCTGGCTATGTCTTGTTCTCCCAGCTGCCAGTGCATAGCTTCTGCGGCCCGCCAGGGGACACTCAGCTCCTCTGTATTGTTTGCCCACATCTCTGCCTTGAATCTGCTTGCTTTGTCAGTAATTTGGCCAGTTGCCATCTCGTACCATACCACTCCCACCTTTCATATAACCAAGCGAGCTTGTCCTTTCGGTCCTCGTCCCACTCAGTTCGTCTCTCGAGGTAATTCTGGTAGTGCAGGCGACAGCTCATTGCACTTCGCCTGGGAAGCTCCTTGCTGATATCCTTCCACTTTACTCCACGCCCCCGCAGCTCGATGATCTTGGCATCTTCTTGTGGGGACCATTTCGATTTCTTCTTGGCCGGAACTTGTGACGCATGCAAGCTATCGTTCTGGGTGTCAGGTGCCATTGGTTCGTTTTGGGCCGTCTTGAATCGTGTATCCAGAGAAATTTGCGGCACTTGCGAGGAGAACAGGGAAGAAGAGCGATAGAAGCAGAGTGGGAGAAGGGCAGACTTTATATACTTTCAGCTCCGCTAATAGTTCTCCTTCCAGTCAACTGGAAGCGACCGCACCGTTTACGAGATTAGTTGGCCGATGAGCTACGGGACGGGTTCAAGGATCAGATGTGGATGGATGTTGAGCCAGCTCGTAGAAACGGTCAGACAGAGGGGAGATGGTTCCTATGGTATCTGCGGTACGCCCTCCACACTTCCGGTTGATATATGGGTAGGGACGAGGTTATACAAAATTAACTAGCTTCTATTGAACTGTCCAACGAAGAAGACACGGACGCATGTGCTACGCCGTCTATGCTTCCTGATGATGTGTTAATTACGATGTCGCGGCGAGCTGGACGGCGGGCCGGCGATAGACGTTATGAGAGCGAATTACTAGAAATGTAAGCGTGTACAGTCAAGCAAGATTAATATTCCAGAAAAAAAGACAATCGCAAAATCCAGTAGCTGGGAACCGTTCCCCCTTCCCGCAATGCACCGCCGCGCGCGAGCTTTACCGCAGAAGCCACATTGAATCCGGGAGCAAGCAACACCGTGAAGCATAAAGATGGAAAGAAAATCAGAACATTAAACTCAAAGTGAAAACACTAAGCACAAAGCGATCATTCAGAATCCCCATCCTTCCGAAATAGACTGGTAGATCTCATTCATACAAGCTGCTGTCAAATGCCAAAGCGCCTGCAGTGGGAATGGTATACCCATTTGCCGTCAGAGCTGTTCGAATATGAGTTGGACACAGTCTGGCACCGTCAGCTATAGCAACATTGTGGGCAATTTTCACAATGTTCTTGATCTGGTTTGATCATTGCGTCAGCATTCTGTCTGCCCTGGTTGATATCACACGCTCTCACCTGACGACCATTCAGACTGATTTCAGCAAATCTACAAAGCTCCTCTTTCTCAACCTCCGCCTTTGCTTCAATGAGAAAGTGGCTGAAAATACTCCGTCGGGCCGAGGGATCCAAGTTGTCATACCGGAGCTTTAGGTCGATCCAATCAAGGATGGCTTCGTCAAAATCGCTGAGGCGATTGGTGGTGAGGAAGAAAATTCCACGATAGTATTGAAGAGTGCGAAGGAATGTAGTGACAAGGCGGTTTCGTTCCAGCTGCAGACCATCTCGTCATTGCAGATACACATCGGCCTCATCTAGTACCAGGACCGCCCCCCAGCCACTAGCCATGCGGAACGTACGAGTAAGCTGGACTTCCATTTCCTCAGCTCTCGCACTTAAGTCGCCAGAGGAGATCTGAAAATGGTTAGCAGGCAGGAACCATTTCAGATGATAGAAACATACTGAGTAGAGTGGCCGTTCAAGTTGTTCAGCCATGGCCTCTGCCGTAAGCGTTTTCCCCACTCCTGGCGGGCCGCTATCACAGATTCAGCTATCCCGCACAGTTATAATGGCCAAAGAATGAACGCACCGCAAAAGGATATTCACACCCTGGCCCTTTCCCGCAATGACATCATCGAAGCCTTCTCCATTTGTCGCGCTGACACGGCTCTCCGTGAGAGACTTGATGACCTTCTTCATATCCTCAGGGATGGTTAACATGTCAAATGGGGTGCTGGAGAATTTGATCTCGTCAACATCCTCCACAGCAAATTCTTCTATATCAACCGTGTCAGTCTGATTACAGCCACTGGGCCACGGGTTGGGATCTCACCCCAAATCTTTTCATTCAGGGAAAAGCCGAGTACTGTTGGGCTGCAGATAGCCAAGTCACAATCCACCATCTCATTAGGAGCCATACCGCTACCTTTTACACGACGAACGCTTTTGCTTTCTGAAGCCTCACCCAATATATCGAAGACAGTCGCCTTTTTAGCCTCCAATCTCGCATAATTTGGGTTCATCGTCCTGAAAAGCTCAGCGTCGACCATGATCCTACTGTTCACACGGATTTTCAAGAGTTTGTTCTTCCCTTGAACAAACAAATTTCCCTGATATTGACGGTGATAGCAGCCCATCAATGAAACAAATTTCTGACCCCTTGCAACCAGACGTGATTTGATTGCTGGATCCGGGTGGTATTCTAGAGGATAGGCTGGGAGGTTTTCAAGTCGCTTCGCTCCTCGAAAAGTCTCTATTGACAGAGTCTCGGTTGACATACCAAACGCCTCCCCGTCAAAATCAAAATAGTGGCCATGGATTTGGAAGCAGGTACCACTGCTTATTCTTTTCTCCTCGCCAAAGCTGTACCGAACACAGCGGGACAGACCGGTGGAAGGGCAGGTCATATAGACTAAGGCGCCCGGTTTGAACAATGCCCAGAGAAGACCGTACGAAATTTTCCGGTGTTTCAAGAGTGAAGTCAGTTCCTCTGAGGTGGACTGGTACGTTTCCTCCAGATACTGTATCATCAGGCCCAAGTGGACCAAGGCCCTGTCGCCTTGCTTATCTTGTTCTTCATCCAACCTGAGGTGCTCTTTCAACTCGGCAAGGAAATGGTATAGCAGATTCCGTTCAACCTGTGTTTGGCCATCAGCAAATGATGACGTAAGGGAAGCAGGCGTCACAACACCGCAGGTTTGTCTGCCTCAAGGCCAGCTGTTCTAATATCCTTCAACACAACTCTTACGATGTCTCGCAGGCCCGGTGATTTGATGTCAACATAAACAATGGGCTCGCCGGTCTCCTTGTCTGAATACACGTCAGGAATTTCCAGGCCAAGACTGTGTTGTACTTACGAATACGTTTGCGAATGATGAATGCATATTCGTCCAATTCACCAACCTTCTGAGCAGGTGGGGAATCGACTATCTTATACTCATACTCCTTGGAATCCCAGCTGTGCATATCCCGTTAGCAAGGTACGGGGTATTATGCGAGTATTAGCATATGTTTCATCGACGGTCTTATATTCAGCCTTGGAGGCGTGAATCTTTTTCTCATCCTTCTCTTGGTCTTCGCTGCTAGCTTGCTCTGGGTCGGCAGGGTCGCCCGCAGGGTCTGCAGAGACGTTGGGTTTCGATGCTCTGACTTCGTAAATGACTTTTAGAAGAAGATCTTCCAGGTCCTTTCGTGTGATGGGCTGCTGAACGCAATGCTGGGGGCTTTCATCGATAGGGGTGCATGGAGGTGTTTGGGATCGCGGAGGAGCGACAGGGGCCTTGCCATTGTGCTTTGTTGCTTTGGGCATTTTGATAGTTGATGGACAAAGAAGTCTTAGAAACTAGGCTGGGGAACTGGCTTGATAAGGTCTTTGAGAGTCAGGATTTCGGGGGAATTGTGCCTCCTTATATGCCATTCCATCAACCCACTAACACTCTATTCTTTCAACTGGGGTTAGACCCCACCTGCACGGGAGAAGATGGCCGTCGCTCACTTTAGGGATGCATGAAAATTATGCCGCAGGATACATGGTCCCGACCATGTCGACGTGGTATCTGTCTGAGAACCCGTTGGAGGAAGCTTGCCGTCCTCTGCTCTGCACCGTAAATCTCAACCCGTCTAGACCCCTGGTTTGGACGCGAACGCCCAGGTTCATCATCGTGAACTCCATTATTCGCTGTCCCTGGACGTATGAAATTAGACGATCAATTGAAGAAGGATGCATGTGTTGGCGTTGCCATGTAAGGTGTTGCGAGTTTACAACAACGGATTGTAGTTGTGCCGCACCCGATTGGCAAACAATCGGCGAAAACGGTTCATGTACAATAGCTTATGTGGAGACCTTGAACTGTTCAGGAAGGCGTTCAACTGGCGAAGCAGCAACGACAGTATCCGCAGCTGAATCATGATGGAAAAAGCAAAACATTTAGCCTGGAAGAACTAGATTCCTATCATAGCTCGTAAGACTGGTAGGTAGCAATGATGCTTCTGCATTTACAGAATATACAGGTATTAGTACATATGGCAAAGTTAAGTCTTAATCTTCCTTATACCAAGGAAATTTAGGCTTTAGATTTCCTCGAGCTGAGGCAAAAAGGCTTGGGCCTAAAATTTTTCCCAATCTTTCCCTGAAATCAAAGTGACAATTTGTCAATTACCTGCATGCAATGTTAGTCTACATTTCAATTTGCTTCAGTTTGAGATAATCTTCAGTTTAGAATTCCTCCAGTCTTAGTAAGATTCCTAGTCAGCTTTTCTATCATCTGTGAAAGCTAAGCAGTCTTTTTTGTAATCAAGAAAGATTCTTAAGCCTTGACTTCCCCACATCTACATGTCTGGAAAGATCTCAATTTATCTCAATATCAGACAAACAGATCATTGTACACCTATGACAGCAGACTTCATACCCACAGATTTCTCACAGAATGAGAGCAAAGATTTCATAATTGAAGCTGCAATCAATATTTGTACTGAGTAAATCAAGAAGTAAGATCAGAAGTGGGCTCCTCCAGAGCTTAGAAAGAAGCTTGCTATAATTCATGTCATCAAAAATACAAGCACTGTACAAATATTCTTAGATCATGAGAGTTTCATGATCTGGCTGGCATATTCCCTTGCTATAAAGGGAAAGACTCATTTTCAAGAAAGACTTGAGAGAAACAGCATCATGCAAGTCTTTCAAGTCTTACTCTTTAATGACTGATTATATGCTGTGAAAAGAGTAGCAGACTTTCAGATTTCAAATGCTGTCAGCAAACAAATTCTCACTATATCTCAGCATCTTGAAGATAAAGATAGACTGTCTCATCATCATGATTTTCATTTTCTGACAAAGCTATATAGGCATCTCAACAAACTTTTTCAGAAATAACAATATAGCTCAATCAGGGCTTGCTCCACCTGTTGTTTCAGTGAGTCATACAAATGAGTCTAACATGATCTCTGAAATATCCCTGAGCAATTCTAACTTGATCATCAGATGAAATCAAACAGTGATTTATGCCTCACTGAAAGAGGTTGCAAATGTTTTCGGTGAATACATGTGTCGTGCGATCAGAAGAGTCCCAGTCCTAGGTGATGGGATGCCCTCCTTGAAAGCTGCCGTAACGATGGAATTCCCTGAATTCGTGCTGGTTGATTGTGTCATGATGCTAGAAGTCTGCGAAGTGGAGGTGGAACGTCTTGTGAAGGATTTGTTTGGGATACCAGTGGAATCGGTGATGGGGGTTCGGCATCTTCTCCTTGGGAAAGGCGTGAAGCTGACATCGAACACATCCGACCCTGAAATCACTCTGAAGGGTGTTCGGGACGAAAGTATTCTTCGTGTGTTTGGCCATGAGGTTTATCGAGCAGTACGGGCAAGCAAAATGTACAGGATGGAATTGCAGGAGAAAAAGATATCCGTGACAGAATGCGTGTCGATGATATTTACAAGTAAATCTGACAAAAGAGGCCTGAATCAACTTATGTCTGGATCTGAAAGAAGATCTTGAGATAAGGGATAAGCTATATAGCTAGAATGTCTACAGTCACCATCATGCAATGCTATCTTTCCTTCACTCTTCCACCCTGACCAGACATGTACAGTTCAATGTCTGGGGGTACAGTTCCTTGGCCATTACACTGCTTGAGTGGTGTTTCCTTATTCTTCTCCTCACTGTCCTTCTCAACAATAATAACATTACATCTCTTCCAGTACACATTCTGATCCTTGCCCACAATCCACCATGGTGTGTCTGAGGAGTCTGGAAGTTCAATTATCAGGTCAAGGTCACTAGGTTGAAAAAGACTAGAGTTGTGTCAGATGAGCCATTTCCATTTAGAATGTTACTTATCATAAGGCCCTGTGAGCTGATAGTCTCCTTGAGTAAATCAGACAGTAAGAAGAGGATGTTCAGTTGAGGACTCTTTTAGAGAGCACTTCTGGTGTATGCTTGTGAGGTCAGGCATATGACTTGACAACATTAGTGAGGTCTGCAACAAATACCACAAGGAACTGAGAAATTCTATACCAAAGCACTCAATATGAAGAACTTGCCCAGATGTCATTGATAAAGAGGCTTCACAGCTTGGTGTGAAATACCAGGATATCAATGGAACCTAGTGAAATTTTCTGGACAGGTAGTGGAACTTTTGCTTTAAGTTCGATCGCTTTTCGGCTGTAACCATGTCGATCACCTTTGACATTTCCCATGCAAAATTAAAAGCAAAGCATGGTTTCATGATACTGCTGCGCAGGAAGCTCACCACTTCCGATTATGCCAAAAAGTGGCGCAGCAAGTCGCATTTGCGGCGGAGTAATCAGAATTTGAACTATTGCAAAACATGGTGGTATTCTCTTCCATCGGCAACTCATGTGGACTTGCTCTTCCCTTGATCGGTGAGAGAGGGATGGTTTACACAGGCGAGATTTTCGTTTGAGCATTGATGCGTAGGGCAAGTTGCTTAAAGAGCAACCGGCTAGTTCGGAAAAACTATTAATGCGACAAAGATTTCGGCTGCATCCCAAGAAAAATTGGGGAGGCCAGTTTTCCCATCTCGCGGCTTGACATTTCGGTTAGTTCACTAATATGGACACATGCGTTAAGCGGTCGATTCCTAGCCGACGAATCGAACTTGGAGGCTAAACAAATTTCACCCGTGGCAAAGAGTCGTTGGCATCGCTGGGCAGGCATTCCAAGGTTTGTGTTTCTGCGCTGGGCTTACAACGCCAAACGATCGGCTCTCGGCGGCCATGATTTTCCCTACGCCGACTTCCCAATACATAGTTGACGATGCGCTGCCCATGAAGTCAAAACATTCCATCGCTTTTTTCGCAAGCTCTCCAATTCTCTCACCAGATCCTTCCCCCCCCCCAATCCATATTTCAGCAGCATGCGAATAGTCCCTTTGTACATAGAAGCACTTCTTGCCCCTCTCTCATCCAATCAACATGGCCCCACGTCAGAAAAGGTCAGACGCAAGAAACACTAGGTATCTCGCAAGGCCAAACATCAGAAAGTCATCGCAGCAGCTTTTAGTGCTGAAAGTACAAGGCCAAGGTAGTCACCCATGCTTCGACCTGCCTCCTATAACTGACCGTTCATTAGTAGGGAAGCGGCCTCAACGCGTCAAGAAAGAACGACCACAGGATCCTACTCGCAAGAGCGCACGCCTACAAAGGAGATATCGCACTGAAGACAGAACTGTATTATATCACACCGGAAATGCCAAACAAAATCATCCAAATTCCCCTTCTACCAGCAACACACCCAGAAAAGAGGTATGGCACTAGTCTCCCACCACGCTATGAAGCTAACTTAAAAGCAAGTTTCCAGAGAATCCGACCGCTTGTCTACTAGCCGGAGATCGAGTACAGAAACGACCGCGAGAAGCTCAAGAGTCTTCCAGCATTCCAGCTCAAAAGCGGCGACGAACATTTCTTGCAAGCGACGCTGACGATCCTACTCTTTGGGAAACCTCAAACCAGGTGAAAGAGCAGCGTGATATTACCAACTGGAAGAAGGTTGACCTGATCAGATGTTGGTGCAAGAACGATCGCTGGCCTGAAGAATATTTTGAAGCACAGCCTGGACAGATTGAAAACATGAGCCACCTTCTTGCAAAGAAAAAGTCAACAGCTTCTCTTCGCCGCAAGAACTCAAATTCAAGTCTTGCTACAGGCTCCAACACACCTTCTGATCAAGAATCAAGAGATGGGAAGAGTGCCAAATACAGAAGCGCTGCTTATGAGACCGTCCTTGCCACCAGAGGCAGCTTTATGGCTGAATCTGAACTTGAAGTAACGGAAAAAAGCAAACAGATCTGTAAAACGCTACTTGACGAGAAACAGATGACTCCCGAAGGCACGATATTTCAGAACGACCGGTTCCGGAAGGCTTGCCAGAAGCTACAGAGTAAAAACGAATCAAGAATTATTCAAGATATATCTCGGTTGATTGTCCCTGCGGCGGAGACATTAGCTACATGTGGCGCTAAGACTCTGGAGTGTTTGGTTGAAAGCGTCAATGAACAGTGGGGTTCCTCCATTGTCTTCTGTGGACCACGTCCGCAGCCTGATTATGCGGTTGGGTTCAGCCGTTCTGCGTTCACAGAAGACCAGCTAAAGAAGTTTGAACCGTTCCTCGGTTACAATCTGGATACCTACAGCTCCTTCTTCCTAGCCACCTTCTACATGTACTTTCCCTTCTTGACCAGTGAGGTGAAGGGTACAGCTGCACTTGACATTGCTGACCGCCAGAACGCACACAGCATGACCCTCGCTGTGAGGGGCGTCGTTGAGCTGTTTAAACTTGTGGGACACGAAGAGGAGGTCAATCGCGAGATCTTGGCTTTCTCGATCTCACATGACAACAGGACAGTGAGAATCTACGGCCACTATGCAGTCATTGAGGGAAGCAAGACTTCCTTCTACCGTCACCCCATCAGAACGTTTGATTTTACGGAGCTGGACGGCAGAGAGAAGTGGACTGCTTACACGTTTACGAGGAATGTTTATGAGAAGTGGGCGCCAGATCATCTCAAAAGGATCCACACAGCTCTTGATGGAATCCCTCCTGGAGTAAATTTTGATGTTTCGCAGTCAGAACTTGGATTCTCTCAATCAAACACCCCATGCTTTTTGGAGGATGACGGCCAACTAAGTCAGACGAGCGTTGTAGCCTCAGCAGAAGCTACACCCAATACTTCCTTCACCCAGCAGACACAGGTCTTGAAGCGGCCAAGGAGGCAGAAATAGTGTGTTGATGTTGTGTTTAAGACAGGAATTAATTATTATCATTTGGATTACGTGTGGTGTGTCTGTCAACTTGATCCAGAATATCTCCAGAATATCTTGTACACCTTTCCATAAGCACACTACCCCATAAATATCATCACGTATTGCACATCGAGATATTTCCGAGAATAATATCATAATAACCGACCCCAGGGGGACTGACGGTGTGATGGGAATGCTGATCGACCTAGATCTTGCCAAAGAGCTTAGCAGCGGCCGCAGTGGTGCGCGCTGTCGTACCGGCACAATGGAGTTCATGGCGATTGAGGTGCTACTTGGGGTCTCTCACACCTATCGGCATGATCTCGAGTCATTGTTTTACGTCTTTATTTGTTTGTGCGGGTCGTCGTGGCTGGACTAACTCCAAAGAGCAGCCAAAAGGCAAGTCTACTGACAAAATGGTACACTGGTAGCTATCGGGAGATCGCTAGCGCTAAAACGAGGACATATGCATGTGGATGGATTTGAGGATATCCTGGAAGAATTTCCGCAATCTTTCGAATGTGTCAAACCGCTCTGCAAGGAATTGAGGGGAATCTTGTTTCCCTGCAGGAACGGCCTCTTCACGGGGACACCCAAAGACCCGGAGGTTCTGTATGGACCAATAATCCAAGCATTTGACAAGGCTATTAATGATATTAAGCCTACGGAGTCATAGGTGGTAAAGGTCGTGTTTTTTTGTATCTTAACTTATCTGGTTCAGCCGGGTTCGTTGTCTAATTCTTGAAGTCAGTGTTTAAGCCTTATCCATTCATACAAAGCACCGAGGGACACTTCCGACATGCAGGCTTGGTGATTTCATATATATTGTCTGATTTGTCGTTTAATCAAATTCTATGTCTCTACTGCCCCTCCTACTATATCCCGGAGCTCTCGCCCATAGATATGGGAAAACAACTGGTTTATTTTTGTGGGTTTGACTTTCAACACCCAATAAACTTGTTTATTTAGTGATAACCCTGTACCTAACAGAAAGCGTTGTCCGTTCAAAACAAGAATCACCTTCCTCGCGACCGAAAGTAGCTGAAAATGCTGGAAAATCCGATGGGGCGACAAGCAAGGCTGGGAATCATGAAATGAGGTTGTGCTGTCTTAAAGCTCGAATGATGAACCCTAACAGGACCATTCGAAAAAGTTCGATCTTGGGGAGGGCTGCTGCTGGATTCTGAAAACCAAACTCCCCTTGCGAGCACCGGATTCAGGGCATTTTCGTTCACACCATTGAAGTCGAACACGAACATTGAATTCCAATCAAAAAACAGCAACATCTGGTGAAACCCTCCTAGAGTACTTCTTCGCCTGCTTTGATATCCAATGTGCGTTCCGCTTAAAGTGGGTGCGGTTTTCCTGGCCCTGGGCAGCATCCCGCTTTTGCGCGTGCATTTTGTTGGTTCGTCAATGCCTGATGAAAATCGTTCAAATGCAAGACCTTCGTATTTTTCACTTCAAGAACCGCAATGTTCGTGGTCTGACTGCCATTGCGATACACCCATCTCACATTGGTTCGGCAGCCACCCCCTGAAGCCAATTCGCCCCTACAATCAAGGCTGCCAGTGTTGAGAAGTCGATTTGCAACAACATTGACTAGGGTGAATAAGATAAAGAACCGATGCACGAAGTACGTCAGCTTCCGTATAAAGAAGGTGGCCGGGTTCAACTTGAGGCATGCGTTCCGCTAAGCAGCCGCTATTTGGAGCATGAGCGAGGAGTCGGCTGCGGGCATAGTCGATAAGAACGCTTGGGTGTTCTGTCACACAAGCGCTTGGAGGATCTTCTGCCACTGTTGAATGTGCACTTGCCGAAATAGATCTGTAATCATTCGCAACTGTGGTGGAGGGGAGATCATCCAGTGGTCGCCAGAAAGCCTCATAGATCGTTGGAGGGGCCATATTCGTGGTGAGAGAGTTGGTGGACGTGATGAGAACGACGATGCCACTTGAGTCCGGATGATGATATTGCCAGGGGGACACATTTTAAAGCTGCAGCCTCTGTGTTGAGTCTGGCTAGGCAGCAGCCAAACCGGACAGCTGGTTGTTGAGCTTGTTGCTGGGACATCCATGCAGCAATTGTGCCCCGCGAAATTCTCACAGAGGGATCGTCATGTTATTATGAAGGCTGTAATCGATGCTGAAACATCGCTCTACACATGTAATGTCCGGCATGGGGACAATACATCCGCGGAACATACTCTTACTGAACACGGCCAAAGCTCGGAAGATAACAATCATCGATTTCGGGAAAGCAGTACTCGGGAGGACACCATATCCAGAGGAAGAGCAACGATATCTCCCTGGAGTTTCGATTTTCACCTCTGCTCCGCTGGAACAAGGCTTGGGGTTTTTGGCATGTCTTTGATGCCTGGGTCGATTGGGACCGGCAATCTTGGCTTGAGGATGTATATGAGGATACAAGAGCTTCGATTACAGATCACATGAGGTCAGTCTGGCTACCATCTATTCTGACTCAACCTCTAGAGCAGTTGCCGGATATTTAATGGGCCAGAGCGGGGACATGTTTTGATGGACAATTGGGATAATCCAGCCTTAATATTCATCCCAAGACAGAACTTTACCTCTGGCATCCTCATGCTTCATCTCGGTATCTCTTCCATACTTTGATAATATCGGAACTCGATCCACACTGCTTGAGTCTCCCAAGTATATCATATTCGACAAAATATGGAGGAATATATGTATCATAAGGAGATTGTACATCATTTACCACACAGATCCCTTACCATGTGTCGAAGAGACCAAGTTATCGAAGGAAATTAGGCTTGTCTGGCGGCCAGGAAAGCGATGTGTTCCCGGCCCGAAGCACACGCAATCATCTCCAAAGGGAAAGCTTAAAAATAATGCCATGATAAGCGCATCATGACCGCGCTATGGGGAATTTATCCAACAGCGAACCCCCCGAATAACCCGCATTTCTCATCCTTGCAGCACAAAAGTTTGTGTCATGTGTTCCATCTACCCGGCACTTCCGAGGCTGAATATCTACCCTCTGTTTCCTCTATTCGCGACAGAAACCGGCATTCCGCAGGGTGTTGAAGGTGTTGTTATACAGGGTTCGAGTTTTACACCCTATTGGCCGAGGAAATTCAACCCGGCTCGCGCAATGTTACATCGGGTGCTCCAGAAAAGATATCTGCAGAAGCATTCAACATTCTGAAGAAAAGATGTAAATAGTTATTTAGATAGTGAAGTGCTTCTCTAACGATCTTGTTTGGTCTCGTCCACTTTTTTCAACCGTAGCCACTTCAGCATTCACAACCCGTCCGTTATGATCAACCTGGCCAAGAGCACCACGAATCCAACCTTATAACGAAATAGCATACTGGCACCTTAGGGATATTCCAAGGCTCGCGCGGCTAAAATTTATAACTACCAGCGGCACGGTGAATACATAATACGTAGCTCGCTTAGGTGGATAGAGAAGACTACAACAAGGGTATTCTGTTGCGACACGAGTGGTTTCGCAACAAGGGTAGCTGCCAATAGCAGCAAAATCCGCCTGCACCTGTGCATAAAATTTTGAGGTCCATTTACATGCAATAACAACTAAATTTAAGAAATCAAACTGCCCGAACGAACGTATACAAGCAACATCATTAAAGCCTATTCCTTCTGCACCGGTTGCATGCCTGCAGACGGCACAGACGACATTCAAAGATATACTGCGTGAGGAAGTGGTGGCATTCCTCGCATTGGTGAGGTCCTTGGACCCACCGCCAGTGAGAGTGGCCACATTCGTGGTTTGCCCTAAGATTTTGCATGGTTTCCGCAACCAAGATGTTTCTCCGGTCTAGGGTAGGGTTCGCGGGAGGGTCGATTTCTTGCGGTAGGTGGGGAGCATTTGCTAATCGGGTTGCATCAGCCGGAGCAGGAACTGCAGCCAAACGCTCAGGTTCCCGATCTAAAATCTGATTTGCACGGGCAAGAAGACGACCCTCATCCCATTGTTCACAGGCGCAACTCTTCCAACGCTGTCCACATATATAGCAGAATTGAGCGCCACAGCGACACCTGCAGGGAGATCAGTACACGTGAAGAATCAGCCAAGGAATGATCACGAACGTCATGTGATTACAACCGTGATCGAGTTCTACAACTCTCCAACAGCTGTAACATCGTTGCCACCCATTTTCCCTGGCTGTGTCTAACAGTTCTTCCAAAAGTATGTCATTTGGACAGTCTCTGTCGTGTGCTGATCCTTTGCAAGTCGTGCAAGTCGTCAAACCACACTCAAAGCACGTCGCTACCTCGCCGTCGATGCTGCGGGGGTTGACGAAACTCGAACATTTCGGCGAGTGGCAGTAGGTTCTATTTGGGGTTTCGAACTCGACTTTCTTTTTCTCGTTTAACCTCGCACAAGCTCGGATTCCAGAAATATGCGGACACTCGCCAGCTTTATTGGCTGACGACAGCAGCGAGGAGGGAATAGTGATTCATCTGTCATCGACGCTTCGAATAATTCTTTTAAGACAGGCATGGCAGTATTTGTGATGGCATGGAAGACGAGCCACGTTGAAAAACTTTCTTTCTTCTCGGCAGGCTTCGCAACGGCGGTTTATTGAGGATGAATTGCTGGTTCGACTTGCCGCCCACGCAGATGACTCTGCCAGAGCATCGTCTGCAAAGTCTAGTTTTCCGCCATCGGGGTCATGCCGGACGTCTTCAAAACCAGAGACGTACAAGACTCGGAGCTTCTCCAAGAACTCATCGTCGAAAGAATTGTGGCTCTGAACTGCCTTCATAGTCCATATTCGATGGATTTACTCCATCAGCCAATTGACGGGCCATATCACGGTCTCTTGCAGCGATTTCTTCCTGTGACAGAGTCTCTGTCAACAACTGTCCATCAGTCAAGATGGCCGTTGCCATGCTTCGAGCCATCTGGTTATCTGCATGCAACGAAGAGAAGTTTTCTAGCTCTTGCTTTTGCAGCTGAAATGCGAGCGATTCGTCCGACAGCTCGCCCTCACGAGATTTTCCTTTGGAAGAAAAAAAATATAGTTCGGCATCCTGAAGTTGCAGCTGGACGACCACGGCAGCACTCTGTTCATCAATGCCTTGAAGGAGCTCATACGCGCAGGCCATCGCAGATCTATCCAAGCGAACTGAAGCAGGGGAAGTTCCGAGCCTAGAGGCTACAATGAGGGGTGAACTCGATATTCTTATAAGCGACATCTGGTTACAAGGCTGGCTGAAAGTTGGCATCTTGGCTGGACACTGCCTTGGAAATTCGACCTTGATGTGCTTAAATTGCTGTCCTAGGATCAGCCCAGACCTTTGCTGTATCATGCAGGCAAAATCTTAATAACAAGCAGGTTTTGACGTGGGTTTGTTGAAAGTTAGGAATAGAGTGTTTCTAGGAATTCATGTTCTCGCCAATTACTACCCTAGAATGGGGAAAAAATAATACCCTACATACTTTAATAACAAATTTTAGTTTAGCCGTGGTCAGAAAGCCGAAAAATCAAGATACGCAAAGATCACGAAGGCCCGTGTTTTCAGCATGTTAGACCTCCTCATCAGGTATATCAAGGATACCCATGCCTCCGCATCCGGAAGCTCTTGAGAGCAGGCCAGGAGAACTGTGGAAAGAGGCAGCGACGTTTTTGAAGTACACAGCGACCAGGATCGAGTTCCGATGATCAGATTATCAAGTATGGAAGAGATACCGAGATGAAGCATGGATAAGGGATGCCAGAGGTAAAGTTCTATCTTGGGATGAAGATCAAGGCTGGATTATCAAGCGCATCATGATCGCGCTATCGGGAATTTAACCCAACGGAGGACCCCCCGATATAACCTCCATGTATCTAATTTAGCGGAATGGCCGTAAGAGCGTAGATGTTTGCTCCTTATATGCCGGCATTCTCGTTCGTTCCTAGGCGCAACCAGCGATTGTCCGGAGCAACATTTTTCCTTGAACTATATCGTGCCAAGTATTTCGTAAGCATTCGCTCCCAGCTGTTAATTCTTCAGTGAACATAACTGCAAGTAGATTCAGCACCCACTCAGTTACTATCCCCTGCCATGGACGATATACATCGTAACTAACAGCTTTGCTCGGTATCCTACTGATATTTAATTGATTTCATTCCCAGGCTTAAAGCTTAATCTCAAGAGGAAAAAAGATATACACCACCTCTCTCTTCAACGTGCTAATTAACAGTGTGAATCTTCCTTCCAACGCCCTAGCGACAGGATACCTCCTTTTTGTCCACACAGCATGAGCTCCCATCGTCTCACATAGTCATCCACCTCCAGCCATGTTTGGTTCTCTTCTGGGGAGTTCAGGATATCAACCGGCCGCTCAGTCGGTGAGGTGAAAGAGCAATTAATCGAACGGACATGGGCCTTTTAAAACATTCCGGAGCAGCCGCATGAGGGGCTGAAGAATGAGTTGGATGGCCTTGGAGGCTCTCTGTTTTCCTTGGTGAATTGGTAAGGACGATGGACACGTCGAAGGGTGCTGATATGCGGATGAACTGCTTCGAGTCGATCAACCAGCTTCTGCAGAGTGCTACATGTGGTAGAAACAATGCAATCCCAGAATTCAGAATACTCGGGCCCAGACCGCGGCTGTGCCTGTACAGAAATCCAACCAGTAGTTATTTGAAGGCGGAAGGACCGCATCTCAGAAATCATCGGCTCACTGAGAACACGCAATCAACCTTGACTTAATATCCCTTCCATCAGCACGTGATTCATTCTATAGTCCGCGTTGATATGTACGCCGTGTCGCTCTGGAATTGTAGGGAGGTGGTCGGCACAGTTATAGGTATAGCCGGCGATGGAGAACGAGCATGGTGTAACGTGTGAACCGCGAATGGAACGGAGTTTGATAGAGGATGGAGATTGCCGCATTATGTATCTGATGGCAGGTTCGAAGGATCGCGGTCTTGGTTCTTGCTCCATCCGACCGGAGGGCTGTCTTGTCAGAAAACTCGGCGGGAACGAGGATATCGGGTAGCAGATGTGGGCATATATCTGTAGTCTTAATTCAGAGGGGATCTCCAAAAACCGACACGACATAATGTGGTCGGTTCTTGTAGCAAAATGATAAAATTCAGAAAGTGAGGATTTCTCAACCAAAAGCAGCAGCAGTTGGGCCTTGTGCTGGAACCCGCTACATACTGCGAACGAAATACGGGATGAGAGCCTCTTTTTATATAATTCACGTATTCTGTCCAGAGTGGCCCCTTTGCACCGTTTCACCGGTTACTGCGTTGCTTGCCTGCAAGGTTGTATTCTTCCGGGTGCCGCTGTTGCCCTCTGGAAATTGGAACAGACCGTGCCGCAATCTTTCGCGGCGCTGGAGACCCAGACCATTCGCTGATGATTGTCGTCGGATTCTCCATGCTTCGCCGCACAATTTTCGCCGATGAATACTTGGGGAGCTACGCTATAAAACTGCCTTCTCCATGCTTCGCCGTAAAGCCCTGTTTGCTGACGGATCAGCGACTACTGGGCCGAAAGCTATCACGTGGTGGACATGAGAAAGTTAAAGGGGCTAAAGGGTTATATCACACCACTAAAAACGACGACGATCCAGGCGAGCATATGCTAGCAAATGCCATATCACCACTTTTTTTCTGTTCGACGCCATTTTGATCAACGGTCTGGACCATCGACCAGGGTTACTACCGACAATCACACAGGGCAACTGAGAGCAACGAGATATGTGGATGCCCCGCTAGTGGGGATTTAAATTTTCATGGGGCTTTACAGTTTTCCCGCAGTGCAGTTTGACTGTTTTTGCCGTTTTCAAAGTTTTGGCCGCTACATCATCAATGGACATGTGTGTTTCCTTAGTATTGATGATATGTTAACAACATGATTAGGTCAACTGTAGAGAATGTTAGTTGGAACTACTTAGGAAAAGTGATGACTTTTGCTGCCTGGTGCGAGGTGCTATGGAAAAAAACTGACTTCAAGATGGGAGAAAGCCAGTCGGGAAGACATCAAACTTATATCTCCTTTTTCGCTGAGAAGTAAAAAATGGAGGGAGCAAGAGACCTGTCACCAAAGTTTCGCAAATGGTTCGCCGCAATGGGAGGCAACCATGTCGGTCGGGAGCGAAATCTCTGAATGGTTTAGCTGCTTCCAGGTGGAGCAAGCTGGGCGGAGACCCATGAGGGCCCCATTGCCCGCTATCATTCGCCAAATGATGGATCTAACAATGACCCGCACATCTTCCCCAGCGGCAGTCGAAACTAACGCGAGAAGCCTTTTTCCTTGTTTCTTGCACCACTCAGCACTGGCAGACATCTCAATAGACTGACTATTGGTCAGATGATTGATAAATATTAAGAACAGAGACTGAGCACGCCAGTGACTCGTTCTTTTTTTTTAAGCTAGCAACACGGGACCATCCACGAGTACGGATACGAGCCTTTTTAGGCTTGGGGGTTCCTTTTCTCCCGAGATGGTGCATCCGTCTGAATCAATGTAAAAGTTAGGCAAATGCCTCCTCTGCCTGTATAGACAGAGCGACCTATTCAACCTGAGAAAGTATCAATAATAACGCCGGTAGCTGTAGCAGAAGTAAGGAAATACCAGTAACATATCTAGTCCGGGATTAATTCCCCGCAGTCCATCACGCAGGGACAAATAGTGGGCTTCTCACCGTCGCTGGAGAGACTGCATTTTTCGGCATGCTGAATGCCGAATTCACCATATATTATTACAGTGACATATTGTTCTTCCATACAAGTGGCACCATACTCCCCCGCTCCTTTTCTATGGTTTCTGCAACGTAAAGGAGTACCTACCCTCTTTCCATCCACACCAGAATACACTGGGCTCTACGGATATTGCAAACAACAGGATTACATTATTCCATTCGCGTTCAAGTGAGTCGTTGCCCTACGCACATGTCACCAATCTGATCAAGTTAAGCAGAATGTCCGCCAGCTCTGGTGCAAGCGGATTTTGCGACGTCTCCCACCATGCCAACAACAAAACACAACTATTATTACACGTGCACCGCTGCAGGTTGCAGAAAGCGTTTCAAAATCTGCCAGGTTGGCAGCCACGCCTCATTCAATGAATGTTTCAGGCACCGGCTATGTGCTTTGCAAATGGCGCCGTGATCATCCCTACAGCTGCGCCTACAACATAAGCGATTATGCCTCGACTATAAACAATAATGACCAACCCGCGTGGATGGAGTTGGGCTGCAAGGAGAGAAAGGAAAAGGACATTCTTCGGGCCTCTTTGGCTAGGTGGGAACCCAGTGGTGACGAATGGCGGCGTGGTTTGAACTGGCTTCCATAAATATATACAGCGCGTTCCAGGGTTGTTACATAGCCTACGCCTACGTATGATTGGTCAATATAAGTGGATTGCTTAGTAGACATTCGGAGGCCGCCAAGCTGCTGGTGATAAAAAAGAAGATCCCAGCGCTGGAAAAGCAGATCCCGCCGCTGGAAAAGCAGCTTGATATTCGAATCTCGATACCCGGGCCAACGCATCTCACTCTGTCTTCGTGTTCCGATCCGAGTTATTGTAATTGGTTTATAAAAGAAGAGAGCCACCTATCTGTGCTAATACTTGCTTGGAGCTACATTCTTTCAGCGCGCTGGGCAGATCTTATGCCTTGGTCCCCTGTGCTTGAATATACAGACAGCCAAGCACAGTGGAAGGACGACCAGCCTGCTGATAGGGATTCTGTCATGGTAGAGATAGGAAATGTTGACGACAATGAGGCCAGATGGTGGGCTGCTATTCTGGCTCCCGGGGTGGGCGGTAGCTTACTAAGCCTCTAGGGCCCGGTTAATACTAGCCTTGTTTTTAGACAGTACGAAAAAGAGTGAGTGAGGCCTAAGTACAGTGATTACTAATACCTGATGCGTTCTTCCCTGGCAGTTTCCCACGCGACGGGTGTCGTGGCGTACATTAACCCTAAATGGGAATAGCCGACCTCCTCAAAATACGATTTCAATATTTTGTTCGCGCTTATTACCTTCCGTCGCGAGCAAATAGGATTAATCTTCGCCTGGTTCCTTGTTCGGCGGCTCTATCCGTTCCCACATTCGCGTTGAGCATCAAAGCCGGATCAACCCTTTGACCATATTCCTCCCTTTGATTATATATATCAGCATCTGTTCCCAGCGAGCTATCTTCTCTCGCAGGTATCATACATAATAACTTCCTAACAATTCTGACATAAATTAGCATACCAATTTAACTCCCGTACAACTCCTGATTAACCTCGCACGAACCCAACGGTCTTTTATGCCGTCAAAATGGCGGGACTTTCACAAGAAGATCGCAAAATTATCAAGAACCATCCTCTAGCCAACTTAGTCGATCATTTACGAGGTGCGCTTCAGCAAGCCGAAAGACAATATGCGTATGATGGCGCTGATGAGAGCCAGGACCAGCTCTATCGAAATGCGATTTCAAAACTCCTCTCTGCTTTACAGGGAGAGGAAGCGGCGCTCAATATTCGCTCACGAATAAGCGATGGAAATGTGGCTTCTGATATAGCAAATCTGTTTACGAGCCTTCAACGGGCCAACTTCAGCTACAACCACTACAGGCGGCTGGTACATCTGGTCATCCAAAGGCTTCCCCCCACTGAGTCCCAGAACGTCGAAACCTGGAACTTCGACGTCTGGAACGCTGTCTTTGGTCTTATTGACACCGTCTCGCGAGGCACTCCCCCCCCTCCTCCTCATCCTACGTCATCGATCCAACAGACGCCCTGGCTGCGCAACACTAGCAGTGTCGTCAATTCTACAGAATATCGAAAACACGTTGACATTGTGCTGAAGGAGGAACTTGGGGAGATACACGTCGACATCCCTAGATTCTTTGACGCGTACTTTGGAGACATTCCACATCTCACTGCAGTTTCACAAGCGGTGTTGGAGGAGTGCGAGAAGGGAGACAGCCCCCTTTACCATGAAGACGAGGGCTGGAAGGGCTGGCCTGAACTTGCAGCAGAAAGAGACGTTCTGAAATGGCTCGCTAACATCATCGCTGAGCTCGTACGATTAGCCGAAGCACAAGAGCCGTCCTGGAAGATCGACCGCAGACCTCTCGCACAGCCAAGCCAGCCACTACAAGGGTCTGTCGCGGAGAGAAAGCTCGATGTCGGCTTTGTCGATGATCTGACGGCCACAGAGGACTCCAGATGTCTCTGGTCGCAGATCCTGGTGCCAGGGGGGCTGAAAAACGACCCGAAATACGACAGGAAATCTGGTGCATGGTTTGATCTTGGCAGGTACGCCCGAGAGGTCCTTGCTGCGCAGGACACCCGTCATTTCGTGCTCGGGTTCACCCTCTGCGGGCCGTTCCTACGACTGTGGAACTTTGACCGTCTGGGCGGGATCGCGTCGGAGGAATTCAATATCAACCAGGACGGCCTTCGATTTATGTCTGTTATCCTTGGATTCCTCTTGATGAACCGGAAACAACTTGGGTTTGATCCTACCATCGTCACGACCGGGACCGAACGGTATATCGAAATTGAGAAGAACGGTACGAAGGAACGGCTGATCATCGACGAGATTGTTGGACGAGCACGCTGTGTTGCCGGGCGAGCCACAACGTGCTGGAAGGTATACTGTGAGACAGACAAATCACGGACGCCGCTGGTCGTCAAGGACTCCTGGCAGTATCCGGAACGCACTGAGGAAGGAGAGTTGCTGCGAGAGGCGATGGCGAAGGGGGTCAAGAATGTTGCGAGGTATTATCACCACGAGACAGTTCGCATTGACGACAAGGATGATGATGTCTTGGCTATCCGAAAGGGCCTCAGTATTCCGATTTCGAAAGATGAAAAGGGTGGTTTTAAGGCAACAGTGCGGCGTAGTAGGTCTCAAAGGGAACAAAAGCGCCAGGGCAGCAGCACCGGCCAGAAACGATCCTCTGACTGCGTGGACATGGCATTTCCTCCTCCCCCAAGTAAACGTACCCAGTCAAGTTCTCCGTCCAAATCTGCCGACGGCTCTACCCGACGCAATCGAATTCACCGCCGCATTGTTATCCGGGACTGTGGGAAACCAATCTATGAGAGTAGCTCAAAATCTACACTTCTCACTGGGCTGGCCGGCTGTATTGAAGGATACATGTCGCTCCACGATGAGGCTGGCCTCATCCAATGTGATGTTTCCCCCCGGAACCTGATGGTGAACGAGGACAAGGACAACCCTTCATGGCCTGCCTTTCTGATCGACCTTGATCTGGCCATCAAGACGCAACGGGACGGGTCTTCTGGCGCGCGGGGCAAGACGGGCACCAGGGCGTTCATGGCCATCGGTGTCTTGTACGGCGAAAAACATTGTTTCATGCATGATCTGGAGTCGTTCTTCTGGGTCCTGTTCTGGATATGCATTCACTACGATGCCCCAGGGAAGGGAAGGATTGTCGAGCGTTTTGAGGAGTGGAATTATGTGAGCACTGAAAAACTGGCTGATGAGAAGAAAGGGGTGATTAGTGATGAAGGTGACTTTCTCAGGATTTTAAAGGATAATTTCACCCCATACTATCAATCCCTGATCCCTTGCGTTAACCGGTTACGGCGCCTTGTCTTTCCAGATGGCGGACGGTGGAAGAAATCGAATTTCAACCTACCCCGGAACATGATTGAAACGCTTCAAGATGCACAATATAACTCAGTAAATTAATACAAATTTGGTGTTTTGCAGGTTACGTTCCATCGTTTCTGGATGATTTTCTTCAATAGCTTGAATTGCCATGTTTTGGCTTTTGAAATAGCATTCTTTCACTGATATATGAGTCTGGAGGAAATCCATACGAGATGTACTGTTTCGTTATGAAAAGGCAGAATTTTTTGTTGGAATGCCACAAGGCCCAAAAAGGTTGTATGATCCTATTATTCAGGTGTTTAGTGTAGATAAGGGGGCTCAAAGCATATAAAGCCAGCCCTCCCGCTTTGCTTCTATCGCTCCATCTTCCCTTTTTCCTCACAAAGGCCACCCCAGCCTTTCAAACAATCCGACGCCACACTTCCATCATGAGTACCCGGACAACTCGAGCTCGTAAGATCAAGGAATCAGAGACCGGCCCAGTGGACAGAGGTGGCAGTGGTTCAAGTTCTGCCACAGGTGCAAAAGAAACTCCCATCATCCTATTGATAACAGGTCGTAACTGACATCTGGACGCAGAAAATACGTTAAGGGTGAAATATGGACCCCAGCAAATATTTTCTGTCTCCTGGAGGAGTTGCGCGAACATCGCTATTCATTGCACCTGCAGCCAATAAGTCAACTAACTAGAGGTGGCCAGAGCCCAAAGGCATTGTTCGTGACTAGAAGCGTTTTAACAACATTATGAGAAAATGCCGACACAAAGTGAACTCCCACCGAGAAGCAGCCATATGACCTATACCCATGAGCACCACAAGGGAGTAGTACGTTTCGATTCGCAGATGTACATGGTCGGGTAACAACTATAGCAAGGTATGAACCAACTGGGACTGTTCAATTATCGGATTCCCTTTCTTTCCATTCATTGTACGCATTCTCGACGTACCTTGCTGAACGGTCAGCAATAAAGCCCACTGGATATGGAAATAACGCTTAGCGATATTCAAATGTTACGTGCTACATCCCGATTTTCTCTCACCGAGGCCTGTAGATATTGTTCTTTGCTCCGTGTTTCTATTGTCTCGAGCATCGCGGACATTCGCTCAAATATTTCAATCATTTTGAGCACCTGGCTATGGATCTCCATGATTTCGTCTTGCTGAGACGTATTGCCGCCGCCTTTGACGTCCGAGGAGGTTGACGAAAGTCTTCGTATGCCGTGGTTGGTATTCGGCATTGCGGTGAATGCTTTAGAACATCCTATTGCAAGTGAGAAGAACGGTGGGGTTTCTGTTGAGATGTGAATTTCCAGTCGATGATTTATTACGGTTAAGAATATATATATAGATATCCAGAATCAGTGAGGCTTTTATACTTTTCTCTGGGCTAGACAAAATAGACGAACTGAAATGGTTCGAAGAAAAACCAAAGGGAGAGACAAAGAAAAGAGGGGGAAGAGGAAACAAACAAAGACACAAACAAAGGAACACACACAAAGAAAATACCATACCATGGGCGGGAGTGTGATAGGCAATATCAATAAGGCTCCTGGACTGGAATGAAATATGAGAAATGAAATAAGATCAAACGAAGAGAACGGAAGCAAACAAGAAAACAATCGAGACAGGCATAGCACGAAATCAGGACTGAAATTGATATTGACACAATACAACAGATGATCCTGACCAATCGATTTTTCAATCCCGCGTCCACCGCCCCCTGCGCGATCTCCCATTGACTTGCCCCTCATGTGTGGATCCCAGGATCCTCTACCTTTTCAACCAGCCACTCCTACTCCGTGGAGAGACACGGGCGTGGGACGCGCCGGAAGTGGCCATTTCATCCTTGGTAAAGGGAGAGAGATTTCTGTAAGTAGAGGACCTTTCCAAAGAGGAACAAAAAACGCATGTACGGCAGAAAATCAAACAAGGCATATTCCATCACGCTGTAATGGATGACCTGATATTATTCTACCCAACGGTTTGATATCACAAGAAATTAGCAGCATTGATATCTCGAATACTTTATCTGCCAACACCCATTTACTGCCATCATAATACCTAAAATCTGACATTATTCTTGCACTTTAAACACCGTCTTCGCCGGTAACGCCAGGAATGAGATCGCATTCGCTTGTCATATTCCGGGTGCCTCCTTGGCCTCGCAAACCCTATTTGGGGAGCAGAACACAATCGGCGCATGGTCAACAATTCGAGGCGTGTTTTACTCTCAAGGAATGTGGCTCCAAATGCGACCGGGTGAGGCAGCTGGCAAGCTCGCACAACAAGAGGAATGTCAGACCACCGGAACTGCTTCCCAGCGCGGTAGTACTCATGGCCTATAATACCGTCCACCAAGGTATCCTCTGAGCTAAAAGTTTTGGAGTCGGTCGAGTAGGTGATTCTTGTTTCCTCAATCAAGACCGTTGGCAGTTCCTCATACTCTAGTCGGCGACTGTGTAGAATTCTCGGGATTGATCCATTATCACAGCCCTTCTCAGCGTATAGATTTGCTAGCCGATGTAGAGCAGGGTATAGCGTCATATCCTTCCGTCTCTGCACAGCGCAGCCTCCTCGTTTCATCAATCTCAGCCGCTCATCGAGCCGCGTCGCTTAGATATCTGTCAAAAGTCATCTTCCAGGAAACGCAGATCCCCGGATAAGGGGATGCAGGCGTCGAAACGATCGCGTTCCACCAATCAACCATCAAGGGACACCCAGGAGGAGAACGAACTAGCTTTCTCCATTCAGTCGGCACACAAACCGAGCCTCTTCGACAGGAATGGCGAGGAACTTTACGACAACCGTGTCCTCCGGTGTCTCGTGATCTCGCCCGCTGGCCGCCCGATCCACGAGTACAAGTCACGCCTGGAGCTGCTCACGGCGCTTCGCGATGCAATTAAGGCGCACCGGTCTCTTTACCTGGATGGGAACATCCTTCATCGGGATATTTCAGAGAACAACATAATAATAACCGATCCAGACCAGACAAATGGCCACTCAGGCATGCTAATTGATCTGGATCTTGCCAAGGAAGTCGGGAGCGGACGTAGTGGCGCGTGGCACCAGACTGGCACGATGGAGTTCATGGCGATCGAGGTGTTGCTTAATATCGACCACACCTATCGACATGATCTTGAGTCGTTTTTCTACGTGCTTATCTGGCAATGTGCCCGTCATGGTTGGGAAAAATTAAATGAGCTACACGGACACGGACAGGACCCACCCAAAGACAGCATGCTGAGAGAATGGTATACCGGAACTTATAAGAAAATTGCAATTTATAAACGAGGTAACATGGAAGCTGGCGGATTTGAGTACCTTTTGCACGAGTTTCCGCCGGATTTTGAGCGTGTCAAGCATCTTTGCAGGACCATACGAGGCGTACTGTTTCCTTATGGGAAGGAAGGACTTATTGTTGGAACGCCGCAAGTCCCGCAGAGACTATATGATCCTATTATTAAGGCGTATGACGATACAATAGCTCTGATTGAAACTGAATAGGATTATAATGATTGCTCTGTTCTGGCAAATAAGTATCATTTATAGAAGCTCAATGCATATATTATATACACCGCAGCTAATAAGTTTGAACACCAAATATCTAGAGGTGACTGCAGCCCAAAGGCATTGTTGGTTTCCAGAAGCTTTTTAATGTACACGCCACCGCAATAGTATCCTATGAGCACCATAGGGCAGACGTTCGTTTTGATTCGCAGTTCTTTGTCAATTTCGATGTACCCTGCTGTAACGGTCAGCAATAAAGCCCACTGGATATGGAAGTAATGCTTACCCGACACTTAATTGTTAACACCGCGGCAAAGCGACTTCACCTCAAGGATTGGCATTAGCAGTGGCCCTTCACTTTAAATTTATGACATTCCACATGGGCATTGTTTCTGTGGCCTTTCACTCAGCATCATGTCATCCCCTGATGGGTGTTGGCTCCCTACAGACTTCTAATTTTGTGGCCTTTTCCGCTGAGATTATGGCCCTCCTCAAAGGATTTTAATATGGTTGGTAATAGTTCAAAACTGTGGCATTCCCTAAGGGCCTTACCTCCCCAGAGATGTTGACACCGCATGGGATTCTATCTTTGTTGCCTGTTCACTCAAAATTCTGACACTCTCCAAGGAGCTCACTCCCCCAAGGGGCTTACTTCCCTAGAGATGCTGACACCACATGGGATTTCAATCTTTGTGGCCTTTTCACTCAGAATTTCAGTGCTCCTGAAGGAGCTTACTTCCCCAGGGATGCTGACACTGTATGGGGTCTCATCATTACTGCCTTTTCATGCAAGATTGTGACACTCTCTGAGGGTTCACCTTCACCAGCATTCTCTCAATTCCCTAACTCCCATAGAGGAGCTATAGTTTTGGTTGTGGGCCACCACTTCACTGACTCCTAGGGGGAAACAATATTAGGGTGTTCCTGGCAGATGGGTAAGATGTGGAGCAACAGACTGACTCAACTATACTACCCACTGCTTCAGTATCACCTAATTAATGCAAGAGAAGGTGAATGAATAAATGACTCTGTGTTATAATATCAAATGAAGAAATGAGTGATTTGAGATCTCATCTTTCATCACTTGCATGATGATGATTGAGAATGTAAAGTGCTCAGACATTTCTTTCACTACATCTCATTCTTCCTCCTCTTTTGTTTCTCCTCCTGCTTTCACAGCCAAAGCCTTGCATTTTCAGAGAGGCAGTTGTCTAGGAGATATGTTTCCACCACATAAATAACACAGTGAATATATTTATTATTTCATCATACTTTATCTTCAACATGATGAATCTTAGGACTCTTTTCAACCTGCTGCACCTCACATCAATAGTGATGATTTTCCAATTCATCATAAGTCAAAGATTCTGTCATAGTCTCAGAATCTGAGATATTGTCTCTGTCTTCAGATTTAATATTGTCAGAATGTTGAGACTGATTATTTGAGATTCTGACTACAGACAGCTGTATGAGAGGGATGTTGAGAGGAGCTGCTGTCTTGAATGAGAAATTGAAGTAGAAGAATGAAGATGAGATGTCATTAAGCACTTACTGAAAACATAGATTTGAAAGGATGCCTTCTGAAGAAAGTCATTCAACTTCTCATGATAAGCTGAGAGAGTGAATTGTTGTGCATCAGATAACAAAAGTTGACTGAGTAGTAGCAGAGGGCCCTCAGTTCCTTGTCTATCCATGTTGAGAATGTGCAGATATGCAGAGTAGAAAGAGAATATTGAAAGAAAACAAAAAGATTTGAAGAAGAGCAAAGACTGAATTCAAATGAGAGGGAAAGTGTCATTTATAGCTCTTTAAATCTCAATCTCATGTTGATTGAACTAGCTGCACTGTCAGTCATTAATGCCTTCCACCTGATTCTTACTTTCTGAAGGAAACATTAGAGCAGGCTGATCTGATGCTCATCTTGCTGCATCCTCTCACAAAAAGATCACAGAGATGAAGTCAGGAATGCTTCTGCACTGATTCATGTGCAGGTAATTGACTGCAGATGTAGTTCTCTCTTTTGATTACATGTCAGCCAAATGACCCTCACTTATTGACTGGGTTGAACCTCCTGGTATATCAGAAGGGTTGAGAAAGGACTTTAACTGATATGAGTGCTGATTTACAGTGCAGGGGAATTCCTCTGATCAATGTTGACTGAATGAGAGTTCAAGTTTGCTTGATCTGACACTCACCTTGCTGCACCCTTTGAAGAAGCTGGCATGAATGATAGATTCAGAGGATGAGCTGCATTTTGCATTTTTCTTCATCTTGCTTTCATGTATAAAGCTTCTATGAGATTGTCAAACCACACTCATAAGGATGTGGATCACAGAATGATAAGTCTTGATGCAGATGATGCATCAGATATTGCTGCATGTTGATGTTTTCACTTAGAATCAAGACATTCATGAGCTCAAGCAGAGAGGAGAAGCCAGGCGCACTTTTTGACTGGTACACATAATTGAGTGAAGTTCAGCCATCCTCATGCATGCCACCCACATGCTCCTTGTCCTCAGATTTAGTGATTTGTCAATTTGACTTCCTGGTGCATGGCCAGGGGGAAAAGAAGAGATGGGGAGTTAGATTGACTGGCTGATATTCACTGAATGAGAGCTCATGTTGATCTGAAGATGATGGTCAGAAGCACTTCTGCATTGACTCATCTCATCAATGCAATATTACCTGGTCTGGCAGCTTCTTTGATGTGGATGATTGACAATCCATGCAAGACACATCTCAGCTACTATTTTTCCTACCTTTCTTGATTAGCCTTGACTTATTTTTGTTTATAGGCAGGGATTAATCATGAGACATATAAAGACCTTCAGTGCCTTCTGAATTGAGATTGAAGGAGAAGAGCATTTCATCATCTCACCTCACAACATGGTTATCTTCATGTATGATATCATCTTCTCTGAACCTGTCAATTATTCTCTCTCACCTCAGCTGCACATGAAGCATCTTCTGTGAGTGTACACTTCTGATTCTCAGTCAGACAAAGTGCATCAGCACCTTCTTTCAATGCCCATGCTCATGCCTATGCCTCTTTTCTCTGTGTTCAGTGACCTCTCTAAGAATGCAGCAAGTGAGGTGTTTGCTGATTTTTCTGCTCTGCCATTCACTGTCTCTGATCTTGATGACATTAACTGAGACAAATGAATTCTGTTCAACTTCTTCTGAGTCAATGTTCTTTCACTGTCACTACAACTGTCAGATTTCTCTGATGACCCCATTGAGAACATCATGTGATCACTAGCATAATGATCAAGGGCCACTGACCTAGGTTGCTATGCTAGAGGTAGGAGACAATAAGTCTGATGAGTCCATGAAACATAATCCATGGACCTGGTAGGTTCAAAGAGGGCCAACTTGTGACTGTGCTGAGCTGTAGATGGCACAAGCCATTGAATCAATTTCTGTGATCCTGTGACAATCAAGAACTCTTTGTCAAAGACCTCAGGATTTCTCAGCATTTTGCTACATGCAACACTTGGTCTTTCTCTCTCATTCTCATTCACTGTTGACATATCACAGACTCTCTGAAGCTATAATAACTGCTGTTCTTGACCTCTTTACTCTTTTGTCACCTGTGCAGAGCCCTCTTTCCTTTTCTCTGTTCTTTGAAGACAGGAGAAGAAGTTGACAATATCAAATTTAATAAGAAAGATGTGACAGGTTCTGCTTCATGAAGAAGTCTAATAATAATCAGTATGAGTGAACTTGTTAGAGGATCTATGCTGACCTTCTTTGCAGATATCAGTTATAAATGTTGATAGTTAATATGAAGAATTTCTTGTGACAGAGATGGCTATTCTCTATTATGTGATGACTAGGATATTGTTTAATAGAGAGTGAACGCATGTTTCATATCTAAGCTAATAATTTAGTGACACATGTCCGCATTTGCTAATATAAAAATGAAATGACTTCATCATTCAGTGAGCAGATTAAAATTCATCTAAATGATCTGCGTGGCCGGCCACTGGACACCTCTGCTACACAGATATAAATGCATAGAAAGGAACTCCAGCAGCAATCATTCATCATTCAAGAACTACAAGATGCCCAGTTTCAAGACATGATAGATTGTTGTGAAATTAATAGTGTTTTGTGAAATAAAATGAGTTGATGATGAGGACTTCATTGACTGATACAGTGCAGCGTGCATTAGAATGGCCAGATATAAATAGATGAAATTCTCAACTTTTACTTGCTTTTCATTGAAGTAAAATAATGCAATCATCATTTGCATACGCTGTCTTTTTGAGATCAGAGACACAGAATTCATGATTATGGCAAATATTGATTGATGTCATTTAATGACAGCAATGCTGCTCACATCTGCTTTCTTGAACACTGGCTAGCTCTGCTGCCTTTAATTTCCAACTCCAGCCTCATCAACTGGCATTCTCAGTTGAAATGAGGAATCAGATAGTTCCAGATAATGATTTAGATTTCTTGACATTTTGTAGCAAAAGTATTAGTGAAGAGATATGAATTAATGCAGATTCAGTGGATATGTTGATAGAGCAATGTAGTCTGACTTGCATTTCATTTGTGTTTTGATATAGCATGCATTTGAGTAAGTGAGCATGGCCATTATGTGTGACTGCAACTTCTTTTATTATATATATATATATATATATATATCTATACTATAAAACTAGTTCTCTAGACTCTGTTGATATTTTAACATCAGTTTCTTCTGAGTGTGACTCTGCACAACAGTTTCATGAGCCTTCTCTGCATGATTGAGAAGAGCAGATTTGGCTGAGAGCATCTTCTTCTCACAAACATTGCACTCAACCTCAGCAGTCAGTCATGGAGAATTGATATATCTTTGTAGAAAATGTCTTGTAAGTGATCTGAGTGTTATATATTTTTTAATGTGACACTTCAGTGAGTAACTAGAATTCTCAATGCAGAGAAAGTAAATGTAAGACTGAAAGCAAGTCTGAGACTATTCAGCTGTGAACTTGATCTGCACAGACTTCATTACTTGATGCAAGAGAATCTCAGTGTTATTCTTTATCAAGCACCTCTGCTGCTTGATTGAAGAATAAGAATCATCATCAACTGCAGGTCAGTGTGAGAGCTGCTGTTTCTTCACATCACAGAATATGATCTCTGTATTGATTGTGTTGATTCTCTGCTGATATTTCACTTCAAGACTAGCACTCAGCAAGGTCAGCATGCAGTCAACAAACATCAAGTGCTCCAGAGACATAAAGACCTCATGCTCAAAAGTGTTCATGACTTTGATATCTATCAGCTTCTCAGTCAGTTGTCATTCAAAATCAATCACAGATTGCTCATTCTTATAGTGCTCAAGATTCTCACAGATCTGTCAGTTTCACTGCTGCTGCTTCTCATTATGCAGCTCATGAACAATGCTATTGTACACTGACTTCACTTCTGCTGTCTGATCACAGAAAATCTTCAGTCTCTTCAGCATCTTGAGATTGAACTCAGCAAGTACTCTGTCATCAAGATGTTCTAAAGCAGTCTTGCACATCTTGTTGACACATTCTAACTCAGCTTCACAGTCATTCAATTTCTGCTTGTGCTTCTGAACAGTATTTTGTCAGTCAAGAACAACTGAAAGATATTTGAGGGACCTTGATTCTTCTGAAGAGAGCTTAAATGATTGATTGAAATTGATTAATGCACTCATTGAGCAGACAAATCACATCAATTCTGTTTGAGAGTCTGTTTTCCAGACTATTCTCTGCATATCAACATTGACATTCATATGATAATGCTTGATGAAGATGTGAATATTCATGTGTTAAAGCATGATGTTCTGAAGAGCCTCTGATACTTTCTCTGTTCATTGTTAGTCTTCTGACATGACTGAAACATGAAGAAAATGAAAAAGTACTTACTGCTGTTGTTAAATGTCTTAGCTTCAGCATAGTAGAGATTGTACAGATGAGTGATCTTCTCAAAGTTCATGATCTCACTGACTCAGTGCATCTGAGAACTCATCATGAATGAAGTCATTCTCTTATCTAGACAAATTTTAAATTCAGTGAATGTTAGCTCTGTCTGATAAAATACAAACTTATTCAGTAATTCATTCTTCAGTAGCAATGACTGCTGTCTCTTATCATTCAGCACTTTAACACTGTAGAGTTTCTCTGCAGAATTCAACACTGATTCAGTTGTTGAAATTGACTTGAATTCTTCAATGTAAAAGAGCATAGTCAGCAGGTAGATATGCAGACTGAGAATCAGAGTTGAATCAAAGATGATTTTCAGAATCTTAAACTCATTTCTATCATTCTGTCAGTCAATCAGTTCATGTTGTGAAAATCAGAAATATATACAGTGTCTTATCTTCAAGAAATCTTTTGATAAACTCTGATTTTAAGAATATGAACAATCAGAGACATTCACTGTCTGAAACTCAGATCAGAGTTAGCATGATATCTCAATATCAAAGATGAAGAATTGCTGAGAGTCAGCTGACAGTGATGACTGCAAGCTGCAAAGAAGAAAAGCATTTGAATGTGCTGTCAATCAGAGATAAATATCATCTCAGTGATGATAAAAATGACTCAAGTGAACTTAACAACATCTTTGATATACATGTTCTTCTTTAATCACTTGATAAGAGTCAGCTCATTTTCTGTGATCATCTGTGCAATAATCTGTAAGAGATTAGCAGTGCTTCTGATTTAGTGACTCAAGAAAAGAGTGCTCACATCTTTCATCTTGACAATTGTATCTTTGTTGAGTTTCAATGCTGTTTTCTGTTTGAGAACAAGATGTCATCACTTTCAAAATATCTTCAATGAGCTTTTGTATTTAATGCTCAGACAGTATTGATTATTCTTGTCACAATAAATATCACATCATCAACTGAAGAATACATACAGAAAATGAACTGTCTTCTCTGAATCAGAGATTCACTCTTATTGTCACTCTGTGTTAGTCTTGATGTGCTGACAATATCTGTCCAGCATCACTGATGAGCTTATAACATCATTGAAGAGTCAAGCAAGCCACAGTCTATCTCTCTCAGTAATCACAGATCTCATTGAGTTTTTTCTAAGTTTTAAGACTGTATCATTTCTGTCAAAGCTGAGTGATATCAAGACTCTCTACTAAAGCCAGGTAGTGTTCAGAAGGAAGTTGACTGTCATTGTCATCTTCATCATGACTGATGAAGCCACTTTCATACCTGCTGTCTGAAACAATGACATTCAGTGTGAAGAGGGAATTCAGAGCAGCTAAAACATTCATCTTGCTGCTGCTCTGCTTGTCAGATTCAGTCAAACAAGACAGAGGTGTCATGATCAGAGCGGCCCAAGGGGAGCTGACAGTAGAGAGTCTATACAATACAGTGAAGCTCCTAGAGGATATCCATTATGGTGTGCACACTGTTTGCGTGGTAGACTTCAAATTTGTCAAGAACAGGAACAGGACAAGTAATGAATGACTTAAAGACGCTTTCATGGAGGAACTGGCCGGGTAGTGCTGTGAAGGAGGGGAGAAAAGAGAGGTGTAGACAGCATGATGAGAGTGACAGGGACTGGAAGCAGAGAGAACAACATGGATCTTCAGGGGGAGTCAAAATCAATGAAGTGAAGTGTCAAAAATGACTCTTCTTCTTCTTTCAAAAGAAGAGCAGTGAGTGAATGAGAGTGCTTGGAAGTGCACAAAAACACAGCAAGTTCAAAAATCATGACCATGTGTGGAGGGAAGTGTCGCGGCCGTGGGGATATATTCATGTGATGATCAAGGTTGGGTGGTTGGCAGGAGGCCAAAAGCAGCCGCGAAAACGGCCATTTTCAGCCTTAGTATTTTATTATATAGAAGTTAGCAACACAGAGAATTCATTCTTATGCAGCTCGCATTCGCTCCCTAACAATAGTGCTATTATCTTAGTAAAGAAATATAAAAGTTGAGATCTATAGTTAAAAAGAAAAATTTAAAAAGTAGATGAATATATTTATAACTTAGAGTGAAGTTTTAACAGCTGAGAAAATAATAATTAAAGCTTAAGTAATTGATCAAATTACATAAAAAAAAAAAAATTTAAATCAGTTTTTTAAAAATAAAAATTAAAATAATTTTGTCTCAGCTTCAATCTAGGCGCAAGTAAACAGGTATTTGTGATCCCTGAAAGACGAGTCCAGGGAAGAGTCTGTTTATACCTCTTTCCTTAGCGCGGTTGCTAGGGCAGTTGCGATTACCCTTTTTAGCCCAGTGGCCCTACGCCGTCAAGTAGTCCTGTCATGACTCTGCTAAGAGTCAGAATTATAATAAGACAAAAGCTTCAATTCATCTATTTAACTAGGCAGCTGCGACGAGAATACTAAACTGGGGATTAGAATGTGGTATGAACGAGCAGCCGAATATAAAGAGGTTGGTTGAGGATCGGAGCGGATCAACCTTCGGAGCGGAGGTGGATCAACCTACATACAAGCAGCTACGCCGTAACAATAATATTTAATTAAATTTAATAATTAATTTATCTTACTTAAGTAAGAGTTGAACATTGAAAATAATTGACAAGAAAATAATTAATTATATTTTTTATAAATACTAATTGTAAAAATATTACTTGTTTAATTAAACTTAGTACTTGTTCAATTAAATATATTCTCATAAGTCTGAGTTAATTTAATAAAATATGCTTATAAATTTACTTTTAATGATTTGTCATTGAATTAGCCTGATAATAAAAATGAGATATTTTATATAAATAAATAATTTTAGAAGTTGAAGTTATTTCTTAATTTTTAAAAATAATAATTACAAGTTTAAGTATATTCTCTTTTTCTATAAGATATTTGAAATTTTATTGCCAAATGATGACATTCTTGTGATTTGAAATTACTTAATTTAAGAGTTATAATAAAGCTTGAGATTTGATAAGTAACTCACTTATATGATTGAACTTATTTATAATTACATTGATAGAATATTAATCACATGATGAAAAAATTTGATATATTATATATAAAGTGATTAAATATTTTCACTAAATAAAGTTTTTATAAATTGAGAATTAAGAATAAATAAATTTATAATTAAGATAACTAATATATTTAAATAAGTATTTATTGATGATAAAGAGTATGAAATAAATTCTAATAGCTGAGGTAGAGATTTATGATAGCTATTTTGCAATGAAATTATTAAATTAGTTTTTTACTTAATATATAAAATCTTTAAGTGGGTTTGTAAGTGTTCATAAATATATGATATTAAGAAACAGAATATGCATTTAGATCATAATAATTTTTTAATTTTTTAATTTTATTTCTTTTTTATTAATTTTCAAGTGATCATTTTACTCTCTTTTACAGAAGTTTATTATTATGAGCATCATTCATATGTTTATAATAGATTATCTACCATTTCAAAATGTTTTGAATTCTTCAAAGCATTTTCTTATTTTCATCAGCTGAAAACAAACTAATTTTTGAAAAAAGTTGATACTTCTCAGAAACTTCTGATTGAATGAGTCTTCCTTGAATAGCTTATGTATACGCCTTTGATCTTGCAAATATTTGACAAGTAATCAAAATTTCGGAATTTACAACCTCTCATCTTCATCTTGATCATATTTTAATGTGTTAGTAGTGAAACAGTTGTGCGACACTTTCAGTATTTATGTGCTGTGCTATATGAATGTTGAGCAATATTACATGGATCAGAAGTTTTTTCTTAAATTTTTCTTCTTTTTTTCTTTTTTCTTAATTTTTAATTCTTAATTTTTAAATTTTATCTAATGATTTTGATGCAGATAGAGTTTTACCTTTGAAACTTCCACAGGGTGAGTGTGTCTTGGCACTTCTAGATCTTGGACGGGTATGGGTGCACTTCAGCGGATAATATTCCTCGGTTCCACCTCGTATGTCTACGGGAAAAATATGGTTAAGAAGATGTCAACGTTCTTTTTACCAGCTGCACGCCTTATTCAAGATGAAGCATTGCAGTCCTCGAATCATGGAAGTCCCGCGAATCTTTTAACTTTCCAACGCCTAAAGTGCTCTCAGCATTGAACACGGATTCAACAAATCCCCACTTCACCTACCAGTTCGAATTGTTTCACACGCTTCCCTTCAATCCCTTGTTTTTGTTCTGGTTCTGCTAGATCATTCATCTTCAACTTATCGCCACGGTTGACACTGAAACCAATCACCCTTGTCATGAGCTGGAAGAAGAAATATTGTCAACGCGACATAGAGTCAAGCCAAGGTTCGTCCGATGAGGCCAGCAGCAAGTTGCAAGTTGGTATAATTGTATTTTTCCGCGATTTGGACGCCTTCGATGAGGCCAAAGTGGATATTCCGAGTATTCCTTAATATCAACCCCCATAGTTACTCTGTTCTAGTTTTCTTGTTTCTTTCTCCTGTTTCGTTTCATGTCTTTACAGTGAGCATATAAAACTTTGAACGAACTCTAATATAAAGCCCGAGGCATAGTCGGTTATATGCCTTCACAGGCAATATACCAGTTACTTTGGTCCTCGCTGGGGGTAACAGGTGGATATGCAAGTAATATTTTCACCGAGAGCCCGGGTTTTTGATTTTCAGCTGTGCTTGAGACTCCTTATTTTTCTCTGCCATCCCGCCTTCGATTCATCCGTTTTCTATCCCAGCAATTGTTGCATTTACTGTTTATCATCTATTCTTTGCCCTCATGTTCAGGGTTTATCTTTTACGAGGCTGGCTTCTTTCGATCTTTACTTTTGACTGATCAAGTTTTTCCTGTTTTCACTTTTGTTTATTTTCAAAAAAAAAAAAAGAGCAAAATTCCCGCTCCCACGTGATTCTGCAATTATCCCAGATGGTACAGATCGAAGAACCCATCACCCTCATTTGTCGCATTTTGTCTGTGTTTGCCGGATCTATTTCTTTCTGGCTGTTCAAGACTATCTGCAGTTACATAGAAAGCTTGCGAAAATGCGTCTAAAATATCTCTTTTCAATGGCAGCTACAGTCGCCCCCGTCGTGTCGGTGGAGGGAAAGACTGTATTCGCTCATTTCATTGTGAGTTTTAGGCTGTGCCTCATTGCAACAGAAGTTCTGAATCACGTTATGCTAATATCAATCAGGTCGGGAACGCGGCCGGCATGACCACTGTTGATTGGAAGTCCGATATCGAACTTGCCAAGGCCGCCTCTATTGATGGATTCGTTCTTAACATCGGCCCCCAGGATTCCTATACATACGAAGTCCTTCAAAGAGCTTATACTGTCGCAGCAGAAGTTGGCGATTTTGCCTTGTTCCTGTCATTTGATTACTTGACCGGCGGCCCGTGGTCAATTGATAGGGTTATACAACTCATTAATTCATTTCAGTATCTGCCCGCGCAGTTCAAATACAATGATAAGCCTGTGGTAACAACATTTGAAGGGGTCAACAACATCTATGACTGGATATCTATCAAAGAGGCTACCGGTTGCTACTTCATCCCAACTTGGACAAGCTTGGGCCCCAGTGGCTTAAATAGAGTGTTGGATATCATTGATGGTGGTTCTAGTTGGGATGCATGGCCTAACGGCGCAAATCCAAAATCCCGAAAAGCCGACGACGCATACAGGAAAGTTTTGGGTCCTAAGACGTACATGATGCCTGTTTCCGCATGGTTTTATACGAGCTTGCCTCAGTGGGGGAAAAACTGGCTGTGGCGTGGGGACGACTTATGGTTTATGCGCTGGCAGCAAGTTATCACACTACAGCCAGAAATTGTCCAGGTATGTTATCTACTGATGCGGATGCAGTTGTTGCTCCAATTCTCATCTAGGGTTGACAGATCCTTACCTGGAATGATTACGGTGAGTCGAGCTATATTGGCCCAATTCACAAGAATGGTATTCCCGATGGTGCTGCTGAATACGTTGACGGAAAACCCCATGATGGCTGGCGAGCGCTTCTCCCGCATTTTATCGCGGCATATAAAATGAATGGCCGAACCATAAGCCAATACAACAAGCAGGAAAAGGCGAATTCATGTAAACTTGTGGCGAGATCCAAGATTCTCTGTCCAGTTAAATCCCAGCAGCCCGCCGACATTATCACATTCTGGTATAGAGTCAACCCCGGGATGGCTGGAAGCGCTGGTGGCACCACAGGCAACGATGCTAACCATGGTCAGCAAACACTAAGCCCAACGGAAGTGTCTGAAGATAAAGTATTCGTGACTGTTTTTGCCCAGCGTCCCAGTACAATTTTTGTGCAGATTGGAGAATGGCCTGAGATCATGGTACAATTGAGTTCAGGGCTACAGCACTTCAACGTCCCGTACGGCAGCTTTAGGGGCCAAGTAAAAATAACATTATGGAGAGATGGGAAGATGTTGGTCAAGACAACCGGACCAGAGATCACAGATTCGTGTGTTAATGGGAAAGTTAACTGGAATGCGTTTGTTGGGTCCAGCCTGGATGGTTGAATGCGATCTATGAGGGATGAGTTTATGCGTTGTATATGAGTTTTAATTTCCTGGAATGAAATATTTATTCAGGAGGATATGTATATCTTGTATGTATTGTTAGTCAAATGTAGATCGATGCTTTACTGGGAACAATTGTCACGACATTCCTGTCTCTCTGCTCGTTGAATATCTCTCCCTGGTTTTATAATGAGCTGGACTTGGTCAAACGATGGGATTGGAGATTATTGATAGTTCATATTAGTAAAGATAGAGCCTGATGCAGAAAATAGAAGCAAAAAAGACTTTTTTTCAATTCAGACTATACCCAGAATGATAGTTCAGTGTGGTAGTTGTATGGTAACTTTTTAATCCCGGGCCAAGTCCTCGCTCTAAGTGGCTGGCCCAAGGGGGCTGGGCCCAAAGGCTGAACTAGGCTGAGGTCAGCATTCCCCAAACGTCGTCACCATTTCACCCTCTCTCCATCTCATTCCTCTCAGTCTCCAACTACAACGTACGTCCCTTTTGCCCGCCCACATCAGACTGTTCAACCCAATCGCTCTCAGCTTCTCCCCTTGTCAAGACACTCTGATACAGCCAACTCCTCCTCACTTGACTAACATGACCCGACAATTCCAATCAAGCCTCCGGGTCTCCACGTCGAGCCTTCGCTCTCAATTGCCCATTATGCAAGCTGAGCCCCATCATCAACCTCAATCCACAGAAGAGACCAGAAGACGTGATGACTCTCCACCCTCCTCCGTCTCCCCGGAGTCCTACGCTCAGCCCTTCTGTGATTTCATGACCTCCAATCCCACCATCTTCCATGCCGTCGCCAGCTTCTGCTCCCAGCTCGACGCCCATGGCTTCAAAGCCCTGTCGGAACGTGACGTCTGGTCGTCTACGCTCAAACCTGGCGGGAAATACTACTGCACTCGCAATGGCAGCTCTTTAATTGCCTTCGCCATCGGATCAGAGTACAAGTGTGGTAACGGGTTTGCAGTTGTTGCGGGACACGCGGATGCCCTGTGCGCGAAACTGAAGCCGGTTTCCAAATTGCAAAACAAGGCTGGGTATGTGCAGTTGGGCGTTGCTCCTTATGCTGGCTCATTGAGCTCTACGTGGTGGGATCGTGACTTGGGTATTGGCGGACGGGTGCTGGTTCGCGATCCGGATACAGGTACCATTGAATCAAAGCTAGTAAAACTGGATTGGCCCATTGCGAGGATCCCAAGTCTCGCGGTGCATTTCGGACCACCATCTCGAGGACCGTTTAACAAGGAGACTCAAATGGTGCCGATTATTGCGTTGGACAATTCGGATCTTTTCGAGAATCAAGAGACTGCTGTCCAGGAAGATATAGAGATTAAGCAAGGTACATATGCCGCTACCCAGCCACCCAGATTGGTCAAGGTTATTGCGAATGAGCTGGGTGTTTCTGATTTGAGTACCATTATCAATTGGGAGCTTGAGCTGTTTGATAGCCAACCTGCTCAAATTGGTGGCTTGAATAAGGAGTTCATCTTTGCAGGGCGTATTGATGATAAGCTTTGCTGCTACAGTGCGCAAGAAGCCCTCTTGGCATCGCCTGACAGCATGTCTTCTGGTGTTGTCAAGATGGTGGGCATGTTTGATGCAGAGGAAATCGGCAGTTTGCTCCGGCAGGGCGCCCGTTCGAACTTTATGAGCAGCGTCATGGAGCGGATTATAGAGGCCTTCTCACCATCGTACGGTCCCAACGTTTTTTCGCAAACAGTTGCAAACAGCTTCCTCTTATCTTCTGATGTTATCCATGCTGTGAACCCCAATTTTCTCAACGTCTACTTGGAAAACCACTCTCCAAGATTGAACGTCGGTGTAGCTATTTCCGCGGATCCCAACGGACACATGGCTACAGACAGCATTAGCACAGCTATCTTAAAACGTGTTGCAGAAAAATGCGGTTCTATACTTCAGGTTTTCCAGATTCGCAACGATAGCGTAAGTGGCGGGACGATTGGTCCGATGACTAGTGCTCGGACTGGAATGAGAGCGATTGACGCTGGTATTGTTCAGCTGAGCATGCATAGCATCCGTGCGTCGACTGGTAACTTGGATCCTGGTTTGGGGGTTAAGCTGTTTAAAGGATTTTTTGATTATTTTGAGGAAGTGGATAAAGAATTTCGAGGTTGTTAGAGTCTCAGAGGAGACGAAAGTGGGCAATTATTTTCGGGAGATATGTTTTTACGGAAGCGGATATACTGTTATGTCGCAGCTTACTGGCTAAGAATTGGAATTTCGGTATTACGGATGGGTGTATTTGGTAAAAGTAGGGGTCTCTAAGCGTTTTGGGATTCTGCTTGAACCGTAGATTACTAGAACTATATAATCAATATAAATTAGGGTTTAATTTTATCATAATGTGTACTTTGTAGTATAATGATAATCACTTAAAAAGTTGTTTTATCTCATGTTTTTAAGTGGATGGAATGATTCTCCTGTTTGCTCTCTGCAGCAACCCCCAGCGGCCTTCTACACCACGTAGGCTATATGGCGCTAAGATAAGATAAGATCAAGACACACAGACCACCCCCACAACGCAAGTCAGTCAACAGAAAAATTATCCACCATCAAACAAGACGGATAGAAATACGCCTGATCAGATAGGCCTAACTGCATGTCTCCTGTTTCTCTCCATCTGGATACTGCAAACCATCTTCATATAATAGGAGGGAGAAAAGTATAGCCACCTAGAGCCAACCATGGCAGACGAAACACCGCCCAAACCCATTCACACCATTATCCTCGACGCCTCCCCTCTCATCCGTAACATTCCCCCAGTCTCAACGCTACTGGCCCAATCCCACTCCCTCCTAACAACCCCCGCCGTCATTTCTGAAATCAGAGACCCTGCTGCACGCTCAAGGATCGAGACTCTCTACCTCCCTTTCCTCACACAGCGCACCCCTAAACCAGACTCGGTCAAGTTTGTGGCGGAGTTTGCGCGGAAGACGGGGGATAGACAGGTATTAAGTAGACAGGATTTGGAGGTTTTGGCGCTGGCATATGAGATTGAATGTGAGAGGAATGGAGGCGATTGGAGGTTGAGGAGGGAGCCGGGGCAAAAGGGTATTAATGGAATGCCCCCGGTCAAGGGTGAGGAAGCGGTGAAGGGCGAGGGGGAAGAGAAGTCTGTTGCAGATAATGCTTGTGGTGAGGGAATTGTTGAGACTGTTGCGGCTGAACTGGAAGAGACGGTGCTGGATTATAAACAGCGAGCAGAGACACTGAGTGGTTCATCAGATTGCCTAAACGGTGCTGAAGGAACACAACCAGACGAAGCCATCACCGAAGATCCTACACATGCACAAACAGAGGTATCAGAAGACGACGATGAGGGCGATTGGATCACCCCCTCCAACATTAAAAAGCACCAAGCGAAAGACGCCGCTGCGGCTGCTGCAGCCTCCATAGAAACTAAAACTATGCAAGTTGCAACCATAACCGGCGATTTCGCCATGCAAAATGTCCTGCTACGCATGAATCTCAATCTCCTCTCACCCAATAACATGCAGCGCATCCGTCGTCTAAACTCCTACATCCTCCGTTGCCACGGCTGCTTTACCACAACGAAGGAAATGAACAAGCAATTCTGCCCCTGCTGTGGTAAACCAACACTTACCCGCGTCTCCTGTTCGACGTCTGCTGGCGGTGCATTCAAACTGCATCTCAAGAAGAATATGCAATGGAATACGAGGGGGAATCGGTATAGTATTCCGAAACCGACGGCGGGGACCTCTAATGGGAAGTGGAAGGGTGGGGGGGTACAAGGAGGTTGGGGAAATGGTCTGATTCTAGCGGAGGATCAGAAGGAGTATGTGAGGGCAGTGACGGAGGAAGGAAGAAGGACGAGAAAGGAGAGGGATCTTATGGATGATGATTATCTGCCGGGCATTGTGACGGGGGAGAGAATGAAGGGAGATGGAAGGATAAAGGTGGGTGCGGGGAGAGCGATTAACTCGAGGAAAAGGAGGTGATGACGTTTCTTCTTCTTCTTCTTCTCCTCTTCTTCTTGGCTTGATTTGCATTGATGAATGTCGTTCTGTTTGATTTTAAAGCTGTTGAACTAAACAACATAGAAGGTACACATGAATATGACTTTAATGTTGGGATGAATTAAACACAGAAACGCGCTCGTACTCGTTACATGAACAATGTGTCGTATACAGAGTATGCGCCATTGTATCTCGAATAGGATCTACCCCTTATCCTGGACTGATGCTCATTCGTTTTGAGAAGGGAGCAGAACCCAAGCGGGCAAGGGAGAGAACAAGGACTCCACATGATCCATAAACAGCAGATGACACAGGTAATAATAGATACCCCTTCTTCCAGTCCTCTCACATTTAAATCACAAACACATACCCAAAAATAAACGCCATTCCCCCAATATCACTTTATCGCAAAAAGCTCACATTTTCGGTTCTATATTGAAGGATCAGAGGTGATTAATTTTGATCCTTCACAAGCAAGTATATACATCCAAGTGTGATTGTCACTTACGAAGCTGCTGTGTAAGGAGCAATCCATATCGTTTCTTCAATGTCACCCGATGTCTGTTAACAGCAAAACAAAAAAAGCCCGTCAGCCCGCTCCGTATCACACAAGAGTTATAGGTTTACATCTCAAAACTAACCTGGAGTACTTGTCATCGGGCGAGAATCTGGCGGGATGTGCGGATTTTGTGACTTGGCCATCCAGCACCTTTTTCAGCGTGTAGATGCGCTTGCCTTCGCTGTCGAGGGTATACATAAGATGCATACTGCAAGGACTGGGTTAGTGATTCGTTTGCTACAAAAAGTGGTGCAGTGGCGATATCTTACTTGGTTGGGGGTGTAAGGCAAGTCTTGAGGTTATTAATTAAGGGGGAGATAGATAGTGTTTCTGCAAGTAGCTTGTCCAAAAGTGAAGACGGTAGCAAGCTGTTTGGATGGGAAGGTTCTTATTCGGGCCTCTTTCTTTCGGAAAAATTTATATCTAGCGATGCGGCTAAATCAGACGGAAATGGAAAGCTTTGGCGACGGGCGCTAAACAGCCGAGGCTAACCTAGTTAGGGCTCTTTTAGTGGGTTGGGAAATTCAAACCAGCGTCAACTTTCAACTACACAACTTTTCATATATAATAATTTCCAACTTCATGTTCTCAACATTCTGCAGTTTTCACCCAACATCCAACGCTGTTGTGTGTTCCATTCCATACACCTGGACACTTGTATCTTCATCGCTTATATGACTGCTACTAACGCCAAACAGTATCTCAAGGAGTAGATCTTCCTTGATGCACGAAGAAAATTCCACTGCAATTTAAGTTCACTGACTGAGAACCCCATCTTTGGGAGGTAAGTAGTTGGCAGAAGACTTGGTAAGTGATATCTTTCTTCTACTGATGTTATTGTGCCTGTATTATTCATTTCCTTTTTCTATTCCCCTGATTTTACAAACTCTCTCTTTCTCCTGTGATGACACTTCAGTAGCCTAGGCAATGGCACTGATTTCTAGCTGTTGTTCGATGCTGGCTCTTTGTATGACTACAACGGTATCTGAGGAAAACTCTCTTATTTTTGTTATTTTGAGTAATTTGTGCGTTTTGAAGGCTGAATTTGGAGCTCCAATTCTGATTCCACTAGTTTCCAGGTCACCCCTAATGTTACAAAAGGAAGATATTCCAACCATGCCCTATTCATAATGGCCCCGTATACTACAGTCATTTCGACAGTTGCGAATGGATCTGCAGGCAGCAGTAATAATAAAAAGTTGGAATTCCACAACGATGAGTCTAAACCCCGTTCCCCCCATCCACGACGGCCCAATTACAAACATATTCATCGATATCCTCTTCCCCTCCATGTCCACCCTTTACCACCTTTGATTCCCCATAACCCTCTCTCCCTCATTAGTATAGTCCTGTCATATCTCACATTCTTCATTTTGCCTCCCCATCAACATGTCTTCCCTGCATATTTTGACCCCGCAACATCTTCAGTCCACGTCACAGACGCGAAAGTGATCCGTGCGCTGTGGGAGATGGGCTTCTTTGGGAAGGGAAGCTTGAGTAGGAGTGAACCAAGTTGGTTGGAGCGGGAGAAGAATAGAAGGGGATTGATAGGCGATGCTACTAGTGAGGAGGTTACTGGAAAAAGAAGAGTGGAGCGGCGGGAGCGCAAACTCGAGAGAGCTAGGAAGGAAAAAGAGGCTATTGCCGAACAACTCAGAGTGGAAGCGCTGTCTCGTGGTATTGATAGCATGAACTCAGCCTTACCCTCGTTGGAGACTCCCGTGAATGGCTCTGTTATTAAAACAGATGAACGGAATCAAGAAATACCAGCTCAAGAAAAGATAGTCGCAACAGCAGATTTATCTACCTTCGGACAACATATAGCCAATGGAAAAGCTGAAAATGAGCCGATGAATGGCGTCAAGGTCGTGCGTTTCTCGCCAGTGGTCGAAGAAAAAGAATATGATCTTGTTAAAGCTCCTCTATCTCATGTACCTGAAGTTTCAGTCCCTCCTAAACGCGAACACTCACTCGTACTAAAAAATGAAGAACATCTCCAACTGTCGAACGAAGAAGCCTTCTTTCTGGTATACGGCCTGGGTGTCTTGCAGGTGTATGACAGTGACCGCACCACAATCCTCACTGCAACTTCCCTTTTACCCCTCCTCCGCCAACATTCCTATTTCCCTCCACGAGACTCGTCTATGCCCGGAGAACCAGATGACCCATTCATACTATCTTATGTTATTTATCACCACTTTCGTTCTCTGGGTTGGGTTATCCGTTCCGGCGTAAAGTTTGGCGTCGATTATCTTCTCTACAATCGTGGGCCGGTGTTCTCACACGCTGAGTTCGCAGTTTGTCTGCTCCCTGCATATTCTGATCCTTATTGGAGAGTGACTGAGGAAAGGAGGCAGATGATTGCGAAGAAACAGGGGCGAACTTGGTGGTGGCTGCACTGCGTGAACAGAGTGCAAGCACAGGTCAAGAAGAGTCTGATACTATGCTATGTGGAA